ATTTCAATTGATTACTTTAAGCATTCTGTACTTTTGTGAAAATGTATCTTATAAGCAAAAACTACGTCTAGAAATACTGTTTGGCATCACTCAATGCCTACCCGAATGTAGCGCATTTCCCTGATGTAAAATTGCGCTATATTGTGTTTGCATTTGTTCCTTTTCATTTTTGTTTTCATCCTGATCCTCTCCAAGCTCCTCGATGTGGTACTCGGTTCAACGTTGAAGATAATGCTGCGCGTTCAGGAAAAAACATCATGGTCTGTTATATTTGTATCAAACAAACAAATACCTATTTGCAGATCATTGAAGAATTATTAAATGTCAATACCTACTAACTAACTATTGGCCTTATTTCGAATAGTTTCTGGAACTTCTTCATCATTCATGACATGAATTGAATTATTTAATAATAGAGACAACTAGACAAGTGTAGGTATAAATGTATAAGCAAGTTTTTAAAGCACGCAACGAGTTTAAGGGCACGAAGCGAAGCGGAGTGAGAGGATTATTACAGTAGAATTGATTGGAAAATAGATCATTTGGTCTTACCAAAAGATCCTCTTCTCAAAATGTTTACCAAACTAAGAGTGTGTCATTAATGTATAAAAGTCTAAACTAGTAAACTAGTAGGTAATTAATTTTTCTCCTTTCACTTTGAACTTAATTAAGAAACACATCTTAAGAAAGTAGATAAAAATGTATAGAACCAAGTTAGGGGTTTGTTCTATTAAATACTTATGAATGATGTTCTACATTATAGGCGTTTTAAATGGAGGTTGCTGCGCCAAAAAGAGATAGTAACAGGTAAAGCATGTTTGTGAAGGAATTGACTTGAAGAAATTGTCCCATTTTGGCGAAGCAACGTCCATTTAAAACGCCTATAACGTAGAGCATCTGAGCATCATTTTTAGTACCTACACCGCTCGCGGTTCGTAAAACTAGATACCCACTAAAGCTAAGTGTTCATTCGAGACAAAATAGTCTCGAGAGCAGTCTCGAGACTGTACTCACAAACGTAGGTATATGGGTCTGAGAGTACTCTCAGAGACAAGTTGTGACTGGTCGCCGAGACTGCGCTTGCCACAAGTGGAAATGCTTATTTTCTGTCTTCGAGATCTAATCTCCAGTCTTCTGTCTATGCCAGAAGAACTGAGACCAGTCTCTGTTTTAGTGTTTATTGAAACTTTATAAAATGAGTGTGCGGCAGTGGACGTGGACCGATGACGAAATTTTGCAATTAATATCTCTTTACGAAGAAAATGTACTTTGATCAAATTTGATAAAATTTACAGGGCAGTTGTATTTATTTCGAATTAAGAAACGATGAAAATTTGAACATTATACAAATTAAAGTAACACTACTATAATAATAATAATAATAATAATTTTTTTTTTTTGTTTAAGGACCCTACATAACACTGCACCAGACACAGATACTAATCGTTACTTGATTTTAATCCGTGCGATTAGTTAACCAGGCTAGACCTGAGTTCTCACAAGAAACACCGACCATAATAATAATAATAATTACACAATAAACTCTATTTAATAAAAGTACAGGAATTATTATAATGATATTTTTGTTTTGTTTTCTTCTTTCCTGATAGCGTTGACTATTGTGGCCATTAATAGCTATGTTGGTAAGTATGAATTACATACTATCCCTAGATTTCCAATGTGAGTGCGAATATTTATTTTATTTTTTAATTTTTATTTTTCTTTAGAACCCTACATAACTGCACTAGACACAGACACAAACACTAATCGTTACTTGATTTTAATCCGTGCGATTAGTTAACCAGGCTAGACCTGAGTTCTCACAAGAAACACCGACAATAATAATAATAATAATAACAATAAAACAACACACACAAATTATATTGGGACAGGACACTACTCACAGACAAAACTATTCACAACAATAGACCAGATATTACACTTATAGATAAAACACAAAAATCCATTTGTATTATAGACATTGCCATACCCAACACTAACAACTTAACTAAAACACATGCAGAAAAACACCGTAAATACACCGATATAGCTATCGAGCTTAAGACGCAATGGAGAATGAAATCTACTGTTATAGTTCCCATTATTCTTAGTGCTACCGGAGTTATACCAAAGACAATACACCACAATTTACAACTATTAGGTTTAGACAAAAACACATACAAACATTTACAAAAAGCAGTCATTATCAACACATACCATATTGTTCGTAAATTTCTAAACATAACACAAGATACTACATAGGTACACAAATGGTCCACAACGTATACATGTAAACAACAGTACTCCCTCACAACACGGTACACAACATACTGTAATATCTCCACCTCTAACCCAAACAAACACACAAATACAACTTATCGAACAAACATCAAGTACAACAAATGATACAACATATACTACAATCAGAGATTCACCTCTGAAGCAAACCACATTATCACGACCCATTAGTATTCAACCCAAACGCAAAAACCTAAACAGCACTTTAGACTCACAACATAACACACAACATACTGTAATATCTCCACCCTTAACTCAACCAACCACACAAACACAACTTCCTGAACAAACAAACGCAATAAATACAAGTAACGCAACATGCACTACAAAGACGTCCTCACCCAATAAAGTTACACGGCCTAGCACAGCTAAAAAACACAATACTCTTTCTTCTCGGGAACACACCACGTTATCACAACCCACTCGTATTCAACCCAAACGCAAAAACCTTAACAGCACTACAGGCTCACAAAATACTGATGTAACGTCTCCACCAATAACCCAAGCAACCTCACAAATACAACCTCAAAACAAAGAAACACCATAAATACAAGTAAGGCAACATGCACCACAAAGACAGGTCCACCCAATAAAATTACATGTCCTAGCACAGCGTTAAAAAACACAAAACTCCTTCTTCACAGAAACACACCACGTTATCACAACCCACTCGTATTCAACCCAAACGCAAAGCCAAAGAAACACTTACACAATAAACTCCATTTAATAATATTACAGGAATATTACTTATAATGATTTTTTTTTTGTTTTGTTTTGTCCTGATAGAGTTGGCTATTGTGCCCATCAATAGCTATGTTGGTAAGTATGAATTACATACTATCTCTAGATTTCCAATGTGAGTGTGTGAATTTTTATTTTATTTATTTATTTATTTTATTTTTTTTTTTAGGACCCTACATAACTTCACCAGACACAGACACTAATCGTTACTTGATTTTAATCCGTGCGATTAGTTAACCAGGCTAGACCTGAGTTCTCACAAGATACACCGACCATAATAATAATAATAATAATAACAGGTCCACCGAATAAAGTTACACGTCCTAGCAAAATTAAAAAACACAAAACTCCTTCTTCACATAAACACACCACGTTATCACAACCCACTCGTATTCAACCCAAACGCAAAGCCAAAGAAACACTTACACAATAAACTCTATTTAATAAAATTACAGGAATTATAATGATTTTTTTGTTTTGTTTTTCCTCTTTCCTGATAGCGTTGATTATTGTGGCCATCAATAGCTATTTTGGTAAGTATGAATTACATACTATCCCTAGAGTTCCAATGTGAGTGTGTGAATTTTTATTTTATTTTTATTTTTTATTTTTTTTTATTTTTAGAACCCTACATAACTTCACCAGACACAGACACAGACACTAATCGTTACCTGATTTTAATCCGTGCGATAAGTTAACCAGGCTAGACCTGAGTTCTCACAAGAAACACCGACCATAATAATAATAATAAACGTTTAAACAACTATAGCAGCTCCTGGACATGGCTATAGCATGTGCAAAACCAAATTTTGCACCAGTTGTTACATTTGCTTTTATTCAAAGTGATTATATGTATCAAATTTCATTTAAATCCCTCCATAAATGAAAGTTGGCACTTCGCATGCGCAAAACCAAATTTTGAAACTAGCGTTTCATGTATACGCGCGACGAAGTCACACAATAGACTGTGTGTTGACTCTCTAGTCGACACGGAATTGTCTTGATCTCAAGATCAGCGAGTCTCCCATGCCTATCTCGAGGCCGTAAGTGATATCAAATGGACAACACCCTGAGACCTATCACGAGATTTTATCTCAAATGGACACTTAGCTTTACTCTTTAACCCCCAAATGCATTGATGTCTTATAACTAATTTTATGGCAGCTCAAATTATTTAAATAAATAAATAAATGTATAATAAATGATTATTCCTAAATGGCCGCTGTTTGGATTCTTTCTTGTTCTATAGTTCAATTTTTTATACTAATCCCCTAATCATAGATATATAAATACTCCCCTAATAGTACAGTAACGCCACCTCTTGAGCGACGCTCAAACTACGTTCAGGAATCATATTTTTTATATACATATTTATACAGTGTGTCCCAGGTAGATCGCACCGTAGGGAAACTTCAAATGCATGTCAGAAGCGCGCCTCTTGGATCCTTCTAAAAAAAATACATTCATTGTGTTTGTCTATGGTCGCGGCTTCCTACAATTACCAGGAAGCCGTGCTATGGTAGGTTCAACCTGGGACACACGGTACATGGCAGGAATGCAGGGAAAAAGCCAACACCGCGGACGCATGCCCCCACAGGTGACGCTTGCGTGCTCCCAGCCTAAGAACTGGCCGCAGCGGCAGCTCTTAGTCTTATAGCGAGGACAACTCTCCACCTGGTACTATGTATAACATAGGACCGTCACTCCTTGCATAACGGCTGAACAGAAGCCGACGTCGAGGCTATTGGAACTCACACTCAACAGCAGAAGCCCTTCCCAAAAGTGAATGCAGGCACCAGCGCAGTGTAATGTTACTACTAAAAAAAAAACTCCCAAATACTAAATATTTAAGGAAAAGTGTCAATACTAACATTCTTGACATGATGGCACAGTTGAGTAATCTATAACAGTAATGTTATGCATTTTTAATAACTGCTTCAGAAAGGAACAAGATACATTGATCATTTTTATAAGATGTATTTGGCACAGAACAAAATAGTTTTTTACGCTACAATAATACTGACAACATACAGGATTTTAAACTAATAATAAGTAATACTGTTCAAGTAAACATAATACTTCTAGGAAAATAAGCTATAAGAAAAGAAATTATAAGAACATTAGTTAGATTGGAAATACTCCATACTGTCCTTTGGATTAGGTATTATAGTCTTTTGTCCCGGAGACCAACCAGCAGGACAAACTTCACCGTGCTCATCAGTATACTGAAATGCTTGAACCAAACGTAAAGTTTCGTCTACAGACCTTCCCACAGGTAAATCATTCATAGTGATTTGACGCAGAATTCCCTTCGCATCAATAATGAAAAGTCCACGAAACGGTATACCGGTAGCTTCATCCAAAACTCCATAGTCACGAGAGATTTTCATAGACTTATCAGATAACAAAGGAATTTTTATCTCTCCAATTCCGCCTTCGGTACGTGGCAGATTCTTCCATGCTAGATGACAGTACTGGCTGTCAGTAGAGACAGCAATCACAGCGGTGTTGATCTTTTTAAATTCATCTAGACGATCCGAGAATCCCACAATTTCCGTTGGACAAACAAAGGTAAAATCTAACGGATAAAAGAACAAAACAACGTATTGTCCTAGATAATTCTTAAGGTCTATTTCTACAAAGCTTTCGCCAATCACAGCGACACCGGAAAAGGTAGGCGCCGGGTGTTGTAATTTTGGTCCAGGTGACATGCTTCCTGAAAGTAGTCATTGCATCTACTTGCCTTTTACGTCAAACTATAATCTCACCTTTTTTATCGGATAAAAATAAAGCTTGATAACAGAAAGCAAATAAACACAATCTATAGAAATGGTTTAGCCAGTCTGTGGTTCACTTTACGCCAAGGTGATTGTAATTAAAAACGGATTTTCCCTGACGGTAATAGAACCACCATTTAGTCGCTTTCCAATCATAGACACTCATGTCTCCAATGCAATGCTACTTAAACTTATTTACTTATATTTAATTAAACAAAATGTTGAAATTACATTCGAATTGTTTACTGATGTATATTGCTGTAAACCTCCTGTTATCCCAGTATGACCCCACACAAAAATACAAAAAACTGAAATGCAGTGTTGTGTTGTGACATATCCAGATATTTTGTTTGCTGAGTGTTTACGCAACCTCAAACTGTTAGATTTAATTTTTTTTTAACTCAATTCCATGGCCCTCGCTAGACATATTTTTCTACTATATGGTATCAAGATAGGAAATATAAGTATCTGTATCGGTATATAGATACAATTTTTTTAATTTATCTGTGTCTATCTATATATACTCAAATAAAATTATCTGTCACAACACTGCTGAAATGTCATCCAGAATTTTAGGACTACACTTAAAAAAATTAATGAAACTGGGCTGTCACTCCACTATTCGTCACTAACAAGGACGTTAAAACCTTGGTCACTAATCACAATTGAAAATTGATGAACGTATCAACTTTTGTGATTCATCCTGTATGACGTAATTGAGTTTACCTGTAAAGCTCCGTTGACATGATTTCCCTCGAAAAATAAAAATGATACAAAAAAGGCTTAAATAACAAAAGAATTGCTTCATTTTCTGTATTTATGCGACATAAAAAGCTTTGTTATTTAAAAATTAGATAACCTAAAAAAAATGCACGCGGAATACGCAGCCAACGTCACATCATACTCATACGAAACAAGCGAAACAAAATGGCGACTTGCTTTAATATTTTTGTTTTACGTAAAGTTCCATTAAATACGAATTTGTCATTCCGTTTGAAGTTTATTTAATCAGTCTGTGTTTTCGCAATTCCTTTTAGATAATACAGTGACCATAACTATACTTAGAGTGAAAGTACATTTCCAAACAAAGTGACTATTGATTGAAGCCTCACCTTAAACAAAACAGGGCGCCAAAGCGCTATACAACAGTATGCTGTTATTTCTAGTTAATGATTAGGTACTAGCAGTTTTCATGTAATAAATAAATACTTTCCTGACCCCTATTTTTTTGTTCTTTTTTTTGCATAACATCCTCATTAAATCTACATTCTATGCTTTTATTTACAAAGTTGTATGTGTATGTTGCAAAAAATCATAACAAACCAGAAATGACATTTTAAGCTCATTTCTGCTTTGCTATATTCCTTTCACACGATTTTAAATTAAAATTTCATTTTTAGGTTATTTGGTTACAATGTCGCACAGTGTTGTTAAGGTGACCGAAACTCCAGTTAATAACAGCTTGGTGTTGGTTATCGATAAAGACGGATATGTGACACCCGACAAAAAAACTGTTGAGGAATACTTAAGTGAGTAACTTTGTACTTTCGTAGTTAAATCTAAACACTTGTTTGAAGGTTCCCGTACCGGTGAAACTGAGCTACACATTATGCAGGTTAACAAGTCGGATGGTAAAATGATGGATGTTACTGTTGATACATTAACGTACCTTTCTAGTCATAATGAGGAAGGTGGGTTGGTTTTTAAAGGCTGTGATTAATTATAAATTGTTTCTTAACATTTGTTACTTAATATATGATTTAGAAGTGTATCTAGCGTTTAATAGGAAAGGTCTTAGGAAAATCTTAGGTCAAAAGAGATCGTTTCAGAAAGATCTTTACGAGCAAGCTGAATCTTGATGCAATAGTTTGGATGTAAGTGTGGTCAAAACATAACAGCGATGCAAAATTTTCAATTGGAATAGTTACTACCGTTAGAGCATACAGTACACGGACTGCTATTAGCCCTATGCTTTACATACAAAATCGGTGGTCACAGATAGGAGGCTCTGTAGTTGTAGGTGTGTGAATCTTAGGGTAAACGAAAGTCGTGTAAACACCACTCTGATCAGGTAAAGATACTCTTCATTATCTTTTATACGTCCAGAAATAAGAATAGGTTCGTTTTTTCGGCGTATCTAGGCCAATAATTAATTGGCGTTTGTAATTTAAAGGCTGACAGCTTCAAATCGTGTCGGAGGTCAACTTCGGACTGACTTGTTTACCCTGAAACTCACATGCCCAGGTGATGTCTTTTACTTGCAATTAGCAGTCCATGTATGGTTTAAGTTACAACTATATAAATAAAAAGACTAGTGTGAACTTTAAAAGAAATGAATTATAGGACTGCACTTTTTTTAGGTTAGAATAGGAATTCAGCTAGTTGAGGCTTGTCGTATACAGGTGGGAATACCTTGGTGCTTTATATTCAGTGGAGTCAATTACATGAAATTAGTGCGACTCAAACTAATCAAAGATTAAAGGGCTGATCTCAAGTTTAACACATTTTTTTAATACTTTTAAGCACCCTGTCGAAGGTGTGTCAGCACATTACATTACAAAAAGTATATTGTCAATTTATTGACACATTTTTCAGCTAATACAAAAACCTGTGGTTATTCACATATCGGATTTTTCTCAATAGGGTTTAACGTTGTGCTGGTGTTCATCTGATGGCTGCCATTGCAAATTTCTAATCTTTGCATTATTCAGAGGTTTGTTCCTCGTTATTCACAGATCTAATGGAACTGTATTGTCTTTTTTTTTAAAAATCTGTCAGTCTTTTGGGTTATGTGTTCTTTTTCAGAAATCAATTTTTTATAGTAATATTTTTAATGCAACAGTATCTTTATGCAGGGATTTTAATGATAGTACAGCACTGACCTTGAGAATTTTATAGAAATAGAATTTTTATTTTGACATTTTTAAACAGTGGATACAAATAATAGGCAGTGTGGTTGACCAATAACAAGGGCACTTATAGTGCACATGCGCAGTACAGTACAAGCGGTACTTTTAGTAGGCGTGGTAATGTGTTCCTTGAAGAAAATAAATAAATAAGAAAATAATATTTTGAGGGGTTGATTCATCTGAAAAAATCGCGTAGTCCATCTTTTTATGTAAGAATAGACTTGCCTGATAATTGATATGAGATAAGAAAGTAGTAGTCATGCATGGTGAAGTTGCATTTTACAACATTATGCGAAGTTACGTTATACCTTATTATTTCAAACGCAAGTTTAATTTTTATTATCTCCTTGTAATATGTAAACCAAATTAGATTTGTTCTAAATTTAGCTGAATTGGCGGTTCAAACACCCTGTTCCACGAAGAACGCCTGCTATCTATATCTCAAAAAGGAGAACTCAGATTATTTTGAAAATTTGACAAAATAAAAGTTGAAAATACTTTAAATGAATTCATCTTATCAACATTAGAACATTGTCAAATTTTCAAAATAGTCGTGCATTTCGTTTTCAACATATACAGGGTGAGTTTTTTTTCATTACTATAGGGATTTCTTAAACTGTAAGAGATACAAAGTCGCTTAAATGGGCAAAAATATGTAGAATTTTATCCTGATAATTATTTTCCCATTCAAAGTTTTTTGTAGCTCTACATATAGCGAAGTTATGACCAAAAAAATCACTATTTTGTCATTTTTTTTCTATCGAGCGACATAAAATCCAATATGGCGTCCATATGAAATAAGAAAGTTCATGTGATTTACCGAACACCCACGAGTCATAAAAATTTTATTTTAACGCCATCGGAAAGCTGAGAAAAGATCACTAAGGGTTTGAATGACTGAGGATAGAAACATATTTCAAAATTTGGAAAAAAATGATACACTGTGTCCCAGGTAAGCATGTCTATCATGGGGATCTTCAAAACCATAGAAGATACGACAATGCTCAAATTAGAGAAAAGATTCCCAATTAAAGAGTTACTTTGAAGAAAACCATCTGTACCCCAAATATACAAAAAAAAATATATTAATAGGTCATGGTATTTAAACTGTTAGGTTAACTGTAAGTATTTTAGGAATTAAATATTACCCAATTTTAAATATTTGAACAGCTCATGAATGCCCGTATCTTTCCTAGGATAACAACAACTTGGCCGCAAGCTTACTTAGACAGCACATGTTGGCTGTGTCTTTTTTATTTAGAAAACTTTGGCTACAAGGGTCTTGGATTCGAATGCCAGACGACGCGTGGCTGTTTGTGATTGTATAGTGGGTTGAGTGGGAAGAGTAGCTGTTCATTAATTAGCTAACACTCCCCCCATTATAAAATAAATAAAATTAAATGATGCGGAAGTGTATGCAGTTTGAAATCAAAAGAAAAAAGTCGCGCATATGCAACTCTTGCGCATGCGCGAAATCAAATTTTCGAATATAAAAGTTGCACATTTTTGTAAATATTGTGTAAATTTAACTTAATTGGACCTCCATGTTTTTAGGTCCAAGTAGCATTGACGAGATGGATGAAATACAAAGAAACTTGATGAGTTTCCGTATGGATCATGATTATACGCCATACACGTACGGAGAAGAGGCTCCCACCTCCAAAGAGATGGCAGAAATCGATGAATTGGCTGAAACGTTAAGCATTTTGGAGGGCACTACAGTATTGAACGATACAATTGAGGAAGCTCGACCCCCAATACCTCCCACAAAACCGGCGCCTGCGACCAATAAGACAGAAAGTAGGAGCCCGAAAAAACTTCTCACAGTAATTCCACAAGCTTTAAGTAAGAGAAAAATTAAACAAGTGGAACAGCCGGTGGTCACGAAACCGGTAAATAAAACAAAGTCTAAAAATGTGAAGCAGAAACCAGTGGAAGCGAACATTGAGGATAAAGATGAAGAATTCGACGAAGAAGAGGAAAGCGAGAACGATGAAAAAGAGGAATACAGTGATGAAGATCTCTCGTACGAATCGGAAGACATAGAGGATGATGCGAACGATTCCGATTTTGAACTGGAGGAAATGCCAAAAGTTAAATCGGCAAAGAAGCCGCCACGGGTTGCTGCACGGTCAAGGGTGGCGTCGGAGTCCGCATTGCTAAATAAGAAAACACCAAAAACCATCAAGACACTTAAACCACTCTTGACAAGGCATAGCACAGAGACAAAACTTGAGCCAGAAGTCGCCAAAGTTCCGAAACCACCAGAAGTGGTGGTAGACGCGAAGTCGCCGGAGAAAAAGCAACCACCGAAAAAAGAAAAGAAAACGCCCAAACCCATTCCGGATGACTTCGCGCTATTTTCTACTCCGGATATTATAAGACGAGTCGGCGGAAAGCAAGAAGCTTCAAACCCTCAGACTCCGACTACACCTTCAGTACCCGATTCTCCCAAACTGGCTAATAAACCTGCAAAAATATTTCAGGGGACTTTAACTAAACCCTCTTCGGAGAGAAATAGTGTAGATGCGAAGAACAAACGCCTAAGCGCCGATGGTAAAATTATGCCTCTTGAGCAGGAGTACAAACTGAATCCGCACAAGCTTACAGTAAATTCGGATCTTTCAAAACGGAGAGATAGGCGATTTAGTGGTGATGTTAGGAAAAGTGCGACTTTGCCTAACTCAAACAAACCACAGCATCCGAATATAGCAAATTTAGAGGAATCTTTAGGTAGGTTCAAATCGTCTTTAAGAACGAATGTATTATTTTGTACATAGTAGCCAAAGTAGACGTTTTTGCATGACAACTAATGTTTTTAACAAAGTGTAGCTCTAGGGGGCGTTTTTTGAATTGATTCAATTCCCTCATAACAAAAAAATCACGGATCATCATAAGAAAATTGATCTCTTGGACTACTTTTCTAAAGCAGTTTTTGATTTAGAATTAGCGATTGTAGTGTATTTTAATGTAATTCTTGTAAATTAGCTGTAAAAGAATGTTTTATGCCTGGTATATTTTTACTTTTTCTGGTTTATTGCTGCTTAAGGCTGTGTTTGCATTCATGGAACTTGCATGATCGTAATCTTTCTTTCTGATAATAGAGGGCGCAGCCTATGGCATGATTAAAGATTGTAAAATTTTATACTTAGATAAGCACTTATGTTCAAGTTGTAGTGAAGGAGCAAGTTTCCTTTATGAGTGTTTTTCTTCATGTGTTGACATGCTTGATGCTTCTGATCAGCCCTTTACAGGATTAAGTTGTTTTGTAAGCGTGTATTTACATCAGTGGTACCCAAACGGTGGCCTGCAGGCCATGTGCGGTCATTGCATTACATTTTTACTGATTGACGATCTCAACTCAGGCGCGGCTGCGGGATAGGCATGGACGTACATATACAGGGTGTCCCAGGTAGAATGCACCATAGGGAAAAGGCAATGTATTTTTTCACTGAGGATCCACTAGGCCTTTGAAATCAGCGTTCAAAGATGTACTTCAATCTCTTTCTAACATCAGGCAAGCGCAATAATATACGTTGAACGCCAACTTGAAATACATATCAAAGACCTAATCGATCCTTCGCAAAAAAATATATTAACTGTTTGCCTAAGGTGCATCCAACCTGGGACACACTGTAGAATCCGACATGACTGCCAAAAATGTGGATTCGTTATGTTTCCAGCTGCAATTACAATTTTTAAAATTACTGAAGTTGGCGATATATAATAATATGTAAATTCAGCTAAATAGTTGTTGGGCCGGTAGAGGACGTTTCTTGAATTTAGTCGATTGGTTTAATACCCCCCAACTTTCTTATTATTTAGGTAATTCATTTTGACAAAATCTTTCTTAGAGCACTTTTTGTGTAGAATCCGTTGCGATAACAGTTTCTATACATGGTGTTTGGCATAGATATAGGTTTCCATGCCTAACAAAAGATGCCGCAATTATTTCAAATGACGCTTTTTGGTTATATGTATTATTTATTTTATTCACATGATTTCATGTTCTTTGTTTTTTGTGTTATTTGAAATTAAAAATATCTGTCTCTGTCTAATAAAAATTCCCAAATCTCCAAGTAACAATCCTGCCATCTTTTGTTCGCTATGGAAACCTAGATATCTGCAAGTTTAATGTATAAAATGCAGTATTATAAATATTTAATACAAATATAACAAGATATGTCAAAATTTTACACTTTTTACATTCTTCAAAAATTCCAAAATGTAGATTAGGGTCGTAAAAAAACCAAACACCCTGTATAAAAACTGTATCGCGATGGATTCTACATAAAAAAGTGATATGAGAATGATTCTGCCAAAATCAATTATCTTTAATAATAAGAAAGTCATGGGGCATTAAAAAATTCGACGAAATTCGAGAAACGCCCCCTAGCGGCCAAATGATTAGAGATAACTGAATTCTGTATGCGTCAGTGATTTTCTTTTTAAAATAGAGCTCCAAACACCTAGGTCCATTTTTTTATATATCACAAAATAAAGGGTGTTTCTATAAGAAAGTGTGCAATTTGGACCACCATGTACTACATTGCGACGGGTTTACATATTACGGGGGTTGACCCTCTCTTCCTTGAAATACAATCTTGATTTTTCAAAAACGAACTTGAAAATGTTTAGAAAATTTTGGAGCTGACCCACGACTAATCCCTAACATAAATTTTACTGTAACGTACTTAGTGAAAATTTGCCCTTTTTTATTGTTCTGAAAATTGGCTGCAAAACTTGTTCTAAATTGCTTGCTAGCATAATGCAACATCAAATTACAACATAGCTTTGACTATATTGACGACAAAATCCCATGTCAATGAATTCACCAAAATACATATGATACCAATAGCTTTAAATTGCCCAAAGATGGCTATCTTTAAGAACATTCAATTTCAAACTTTACTTGAGAATTTTGCTTATTTATGAAATTGAAAAATTGTTCTATTCCATGGTCTACAAAGAACCATATAAAAGAATGCTAAGTTTGATTACTCAAAAATTATAAAAGAAATTCAATTGTCATAACAAGTGCATAGTATGGTCTCCTATACTTTTTGCTTAAGACTTTCAGCATTTATTGTGACTACAATTATGTTAATTTCATAGGTATCACTTCGAACGACGCAATGGATTTGGAACCGATCCCCAGTGCTGAAGACATACGTGCAATAATCCAAAACGAGGATACCAAAACATTTACAACCAGCCTAGTGATTCCTGAACCATCCGCTCAACCAGCAGATCAATCGGGAATGAGCCTCGAAAACGCAGGTTTAGAATTGGACCAATCCCTTTTAGACAATATCAATTCAGATTTAATACCCGAGGATATTTTGTATCAGGTTGCTCAGTCTTTAGTGGGTAATGCTGAATTGCAAAATGTCATCGATAAGTCGATAGTGGACGGTAATCTGGTATTGGATGCTGATCCTGTACCTTCGGTAAATACACTGATGACGCCCATGCCAACCACGACCAATCATGCTCAGGTTTTTGTAATTGTTTAATTGTGTAATGTCTGTAAAGGTGTTTTGTAGAGCTCAGTGGAGACGACGTCACCGACAATAAAGGGCACTCAAGTTGTGCGTGCAGGAGGACGAGTTGTTGTTATACCGCCGATAGAAAGACCAACAACACGTAGTAGAAACAAACATAAACCAGAAGAAGTCCCTATAGTCAAAACTCCCGTTAGGTTAGCCGTTGGTGTTTGTTTTTAAATATGAACTGATAATGTATGATTCTAGGAACATGAAAGGTTTGGATGATGAGCATGTTTCTGGAGCGGAACTCGATAGTTCCAGTGAAGGTGAAAAGTCTGACGATGATGACCCTGACAAGTTGTGGTGCATTTGTAATCAACCTCACAATAACAGGTTTATGATATGCTGTGACTCGTGCGAAGAGTGGTACCATGGCAAGTGTGTTAATGTGACAAAGGCGATGGGTCATATGATGGAAAGCAAAGGGAAAGAATGGATTTGTTTGTATTGCAAGGTAACTAACATGCCCTTAGTAAATTTGTATACATAAATTTATTAGGACTCTTCGCTGTTAAGACCAGCAGCTGCTGCTAGACGGATACGTAAAGCTTCCCATACATCCAGTTCTGATGTATCGCCCGAGAAAAAGGAAAAAGTGACGCCGGTGTCGTCCTCTACTGTTAATTCCAGTGCGATTCCGGGATGTTTGGTATGCGGTAAACCTAGCAGAATCAATTCCATCTACTGCAGTGATCCTTGCATATTAAAACACGCCAAAGTTGTCGAGAAGGTAATCGATTAACTTATTGCTTTGAGTCCAGTGACATTCTGTTTAAGGTGGTTGTATTCGAACGTTCGTCAGGTACCATATATACAGGTAGTAGTGCGCCTAGTACGACTAATTTGGATAGGTGGCTTCAGCAGCATCCGGGTTTCGAAGTTGTCCGCTCTGCTAATGCCAACAAACCAGTGACAACAAAAGTAGGTTTTGGGTTTGCATGACAACTGTCAATAATTCGCTTTTATCTTGTAGCAAGTGACACATTCAAAATTCAAATTAAAAAGCCAGGAGGGGCCAAACACATCTTTGGCAAGTCCATCCGCTGTCCCGCGCAAAATTAATAATGTAAATGTTATTAACGTGCGGCCACCACCTGTTAAAGTGGCTCAACCACAACCTCCAACTACACCTAAGGTACAGTATATGGAATATATTAATTGCGACTACTTTAAATGTGGTGCCTCGACCTCTACCCAGTTACAATGTCCCTGAAAGAAAAAATTGCATATCTTCAAATGGTTTAAAAGGAAGTTGGCGATGTTTGTACCATAATACCAAAATTTTCTTTTACTTTCCGGTAACTAAAGTAGTTCAAATTTGCTTTGAATAGCAAATTAGAAAATTACCAGCAGATATGCATGGTCGTACCCTCTTAAAATTCACATTTGCGTTTTTTTTTTCAGTGTGGGTTGTTGGGTAATTTTTGAGAAGCCATGACTTGGGGAAAAAAAAGATGATTTGGGCTTTGGGGATTACCCCCTGAGGCAGGGCGGCACCAGACGCATGCTCAAGGTTTTTAACGCATTTTCCAACTAATGTGCACAGGACAACTTTTGATTTATTAAGATATTCGATGTAATATTACCGGGCCCTATCATTAGTAAAGTTGTTACCAAGTATGTGTTTCACTCGCATTGCGCATTCTATGTGCCTTGGCGAGTATACTTTTTTATTTATTGCACTCTTTACATCAATGTGCAATTGCAGGTACTCGCTTAGATGGCATTAAACTAGACCCAATGTCTAAAATGAGTTTTATGCAGTTTTGAAATTTTAACCACAGATCAACTTCCTTACTTATAGATCTTTTGTTCGCTATGGAAACCTAGATATCTGCAATGTATAAAATGCAGTATTGCAAATATTTAATACAAATATAACAAGATATATCAATTTACATTCTTCAAAAATTCCAAAATGTAGATTAGGGTCATAAAAAAACCAAACACCCTGTATAAAAACTGTATCGCGATGGATTCTACATAAAAAAGTGATTTGAGAATAATTTTGCCAAAATCAAGTATCTTTAATAATAAGAAAGTTATGGGGCATTAAAAAATTCGACGAAATTCGAGAAACGCCCCCTAGCGGCCAAATGATTAGAGATAACTGAATTCTGTATGCGTAAGTGATTTTCTTTTTAAAATAGAGCTGCAGACACCTAGGTCCATTTTTTTATATATCACAAAATAAAGGGTGTTTCTATAAGAAAGTGTGCAATTTGGACCACCATGTACTACATTGCGACGGGTTTACATATTACGGGGGTTGACCCTCTCTTCCTTGAAATACAATCTTGATTTTTCAAAAACGAACTTGAAAATGTTTAGAAAATTTTGGAGCTGACCCACGACTAATCCCTAACATAAATTTTACTGTAACGTACTTAGTGAAAATTTGCCCTTTTTTATTGTTCTGAAAATTGGCTGCAAAACTTGTTCTAAATTGCTTGCTAGCATAATGCAACATCAAATTACAACATAGCTTTGACTATATTGACGACAAAATCCCATGTCAATGAATTCACCAAAATACATATGATACCAATAGCTTTAAATTGCCCAAAGATGGCTATCTTTAAGAACATTCAATTTCAAATTTTACTTGAGAATTTTGCTTATTTATGAAATTGAAAAATTGTTCTATTCCATGGTCTACAAAGAACCATATAAAAGAATGCTAAGTTTGATTACTCAAAAATTATAAAAGAAATCCAATTGTCATAACAAGTGCATATTTTTATATTTTTAAATTTTAACTAATGATGCGGACTGTGCTCTCTGCGCTCGCCCAACCTCACTCTGTGTGATTATTTTGGTGGGGGCATCTAAAAACCAAAGAAACTTTTAATACCTTCTACAGAATCAATCTAGCTACGTTTATTTCTGAGATACAGAGTGAAAACGAAAAGTTTGACTTTTTGATATGCCAATCATATCTTATACTACCCATGTAAAATAGAGAAAAGGTAAACACTATAAAATAATAGAACTGCTGCTTAAATTGTGAAGCAATATCGTGGTTGATGCAACATAATAAAGAGACTGTAAACTTATGGTCTTACGGTGTTTGCCTACGAAAATCACGATCGCGCGCCTGTAATCCAAAACACAGTGCAATACGAAGTAGATATAAAAAATGTACAGACAATAAATTGTATAGAAAACAATTTCCTACTCCATTATTTTTATTTTTCAGCAAGTACAAACTTTTAAAGTAGTGAGTAAACAGTCCCCCACACCGATGCGAACGAAATTAATTCAACCTGCACCCTTACTAAAATCTCCACCCGCCGCTACTACTCCTCCCGTAAAGCCGAAACCAGTACAAAGACCAAAAACACCCACACCTATCCCTGTAAAAGAAAAACCTGTACCTCCAAAGACGCCGAAGATTAAACAAGTAGAGGAACAGTCACCGCAATCGAATAAGCAGGAGAATATTCGAGACAACGTAAAGAAGACGTTATTCGAACAACTAACCAATCGTCTCAACATTGCTGACGACATTAAATTAACCAAAGAAGAGGTAAGCACGAGTGTGTTCCTTTTTCAATTAGTCACGATCAACCTTTTAGCTGACGAAAATATCAAATGAGATTGAATCTCAACTCTACAAATGTTTCGGTGATACAGGTCAAAAGTATAGGAATAAATACAGAAGTCTCATATTTAACATTAAGGACACAAAGAACCAGACACTCTGGCGGCGTATATGTGAAAAATCGATAAACGCATACCAATTGGTAAGCTCCTAGCTGAACATTTTATCTTTCTACAATAGTCGCATTAGGTTCGATTATCGTCAGATGATCTGGCAAGTCAAGAGCTGGCGTTATGGAGAGAGCGAGAAAATAAGCACCAATTGGAGATGATAACCAAATCGGAACTGGAGCAGCTAGGTCGCAACCGGCAATACGTTTTTAAGACACATAAAGGTACATTGGTTAGTTTACAGACGGGGAGTTCATTCGATTATTTTTAGGGGAACAAGTTCTGGAGGACAATCGGCCCAGTGACGCGGTAGATAAAACCGAGGTGGTTATGGGATTGGGCGGTGAGGGTGGAGGCGAAAACGCGAGTGATGGTAAAAAAGATTCAAAGGATAGGGATAGGAAGCGGTCTAGGGATCGACATCGAGACCGCAGTAAATCAGGCAAAGATAAGGATCGAAGGTATGTATTATTGATGTGTGAAAACTTAATGGTAATTAGTTCCTTAGAAGGGATAGGAAACGAGAGCGTCGTTCGTCGAGTGGTGACAAAAGTCATCACAAAAGATCAAAGAGTAAAGATTCCTCGCGTTACTCGGATAAACATGTCGCTAGCAGTAGAGATAAGTAAGTACAAAATCTCATTAATTATCTTATAAACAATATTTATATGCGACCACCATCAGCGGTATGATAGCCAAAATTTTCTGCAGATTAGATATTTTCAGTAGATGTCCTTCATGGAAACCTTTTTTTCCAATTAAGTAATACAAAGATAAAATGCCACCTTTCCACTGTGTTGGAATTAAATGCTGCCTAATTTATTACTAGGTTTTGATGTGAGTAAGATGCACAAATTGTCTTTAAAACTTTTCCCGTGTATCATTAAACACACCTTCTTCGCTATTTTAATCTCGCCCTGTAAAAATGCAGAAACACACCCTATTTACTGAATGAAACAATCGCGCGTATCCCTTTAAACCCGCATTTCTGTAACGTGTTCGGCTTTACACAAAACGAAACGGCAACCGCGCTCGCTTTTTTTATATCACTCGTTATCGCTAGACATATCTTTTTTCAAGTTCACTATGAAGCGGTACATGTGTAAATTTTCCGAACTCGCATAATGGAATTTTGTTAACACGCAAGGCTGTACCACTAGCTATAGCTAGCCCCTCTATTACAAAAAAAATGACTGGGTTTCAGACGTTTCGTATTAGGAAAATGTTGAGCTATGCTCAGAAGATGGCACTGTAGAAACTCTACTTAAATTTTTTTGCTGCACATTTTTTTAGTTCTCATTAAGACCGTGTATAAAGTGAGAGAAATGAAGCCCATTTCACTGTGACAAACTTTTTTCGTAATACCTTAGCCGCCCTTAAAATTGTTCTTAAAAGTGGCCCACAATTTTAGTCTACGGGTAGGAAAAGATTAAATCTCCCCAGTTTAAGTGCCTACTGGAGGTTGACGTTTAAATTGCAGAAGTAAAATAACTTGAATTTCTAGACGACTACAGTTGGACATGGAATTGTCTGTATTTCCTCCCCCCCCCCTCAACATAACAAAGCGGTCATACTTTCATACTCCTCAGTTTCTTTATATCTGGATTACACTGTGTGCTTTGTTTGAACTTAGTACAGCTGTTGATTACTAGTACAAATTGTGAACTTTTTTGTTAAATAAAAATGCGTGCAATTTTAAGGGACCGTTACCGTTCATCCCACAAAAGTTCTCGGCATAAGAAAGACATACAAAGTGCCACAGAGAAACTCGACAAGAAGTCCAAGGAAATTTTGGAGCAATTGGTGGACAACAAAATCGTACCGCCGCTGGAGGATCGACTTTGGAAACACGTACAGCAGGAAGATATTACAACAGGTAATTAATTTCCACTTATTTTTATTTGACAAATAGTTTTTTCGCCCTTCATTTGGGATAGAGCTGAAAGTTGGTAGGGTATATAGGCCATAGAAAGAGAACTTTTGCTATGTACCCTACCAACTTTCAACTCTTATTTCTATTGTTTGATTTCACTATTCTGTTATCTATTCCTCTTTAACAGCAATTGCTTTAACGCGCACTTCACTAACATTTCAAAATGATTATTCTTGAAGAAAAATAAACATATGTGTTATTAAGGTTTTCCTTCAGCTCCTGCAGAAAGTGATAGCGATCATGAGCCTACTTCGACTGTGACCATCCCTACGCCGCCTCGTGTCGGTGACATGGAAGATCCCGAGTTTACTCCTCCGTTAAATAGCGATGACAAAATAAGAGATGGTACTGATTGATTTTATTCTTTGTAAAATGAAATTAATATTTTTTAATAGATTCTAGTGAGGAGTTTAATACAACAAGGGATACATCGGATCTGCTCTCGAGTTCTATAGACGATAATGTTACCATGTCGCCTCCACTCCCGCGGTCTAAATCCGACTATGTTTGGAAGGGCACAATTAACATGGTCGATGTTGCTCAAATATCAATTACCGCACATGAAGTCTCAGGTATGTTTTCTAACGCAAATGGAAGATTTATAAAGATTCACTTCTACAGGCGATTGTATGGGCTTGGGGGAAGAGCTTCCTGTGTGTCTAGATGTAGTGGGGCGTATTTCACCGGAGACTGTTTGGGACTACATAGGCAAAATGAAGTGCTCGAATAGTAAAGCGATTTCGCTTATACGTCTCAATGCTACCAATGTGGAGGAAAAAATGCCCTATCTCGCTTTATACAGCTACTTATCTAGTAGGAATCGTTTAGGCGTCGTAAAAAGTATTAACAAGGCAGTGAAGGATTTTTATATACTACCTCTTGCCAGCAAAAAGCCCCTCCCACAAGCTTTACTACCATTAAATGGACCAGGTACCCGATCCACTTCACTGTCAAAATTTTACCACGATCTTTACAGGTTTTGAGGAATCACGGCCCGCCATCTTATTAGGTATTATAGTTAGAGACAAACGAAAAAGGCCCCTGTTTATCTCGAATCCTTCCACACCACTTAAAAAGGCCCGGATAGATACACCGGCAATTTCTTTGGATCGTTCCTATACCCCACCGCCTAGCTCGGAATTATCGTTAAAGGTGCCAGATAGCAAAGCCGACGCAAATGACGAAGGTATAACATTACGCATTTCTTTGGCGTTGTTCAAATTGATTTTTAGATGAACCGTACACACCCGAGGATTCCGATCCGGATACGGTTCCAAGTACCAGTGAGGATAACTCCAAAACTTCGTCTAATTTAAATCCCTCCGATTTGTCAAACATTTTGACGACCTCTACGAAGTCGACGTTTTTGGACGCGGGACTTGCGACACAAAGCTTTGAGCCGTTCAGCAATAAATTTGATACAATACCAGGTGTGTGTACTTTTTTTGGTATTATTTGTTGCGTCATCGGAGATAAAGTGTACCAAAAAGCTCAAATCACATGATCAACTAAACCTTGTGGTGGTAGGTCAAAAATTGATGCATGCAATGGACTCGTATAGCTTTAGCCATATAAAATGCAATTTCAAAAGTTGAGGCCAATCGATCAACATTCACAGTGCCCTTTTGTCATCTCGCCCATTTAGAAATCGAATTGCAAATTTTCCTATTTATGAAAGTATTTAAATGAAATTTTTTATACATAGCCATTTGAAATAAAAGCAAATATAACGCCAGTTTCAAATTTTGGTTTTGCGCATGCGCATTGCCAACTTTCTTATTTATGGAGGGATTTAAATGAAATTTGATACATAGCCATTTGGAATAAAAGCAAATATTACGCCAGTTTTCAAATTTGGTTTTGCGCATGCGCAGTACCAATTTTCTTATTAGTGGAAGCAATTAAATGAAATTTCATACATATTAAACACTTTAAATAAATGCAATACTAACACCAGATTCAAAATTTCGTTTTCTATATTTGTTTACACGTTTATTATAAAGTATAATATAAATTGATAACTCTAAAATAAAGATGAGATGCTGAAATACTCTCATTTCAAGTCTGATGGCACTAGTAGAGCTAGGCTATAAACTATCACCTTACAAATCTTTATTCTTTTGAAAAACAAAAAACTAAACGAGTTCACTTGACGATAAGGCCAACAAGACACAAGATACATCATATCAACAAAAAGAATGTTTTTGTTCTATGGTTTTTTCTTTCCATTCCGACCACACACTATAATTTCCTGCAGTTGCGTAGGGATAGCTTAATGGCCATATCCCAAATTAATGACGCCATGTAAAAATTCAGTAATATATTGATTTAATGCTTGGACTATTGATTTTCAATTACTTAATTCATCAGAGACCCGAGTTACGGGTGTACTTTCTACTTGAATCAGTTTTGTGTTTTTCCTTTTTTAGAGTTTGTTGTTAAAAATACCTTTTTTTAAGGATTGGACGAAACCGCAGGACTACCTGCGATAAGCGAGGAGTTGCAAAGAAAAATGGAAGAACTGGACGAACGGATCGCGATGCAAAAAGCCGAAATACACAACATGTCGCAGGACATCGCCTCCAGTACGACAACCGGCATCGGCACGACAGCTTTAGCCAGCATTGCCCTACCTCAAAACTTGCAACAAATTCTTGATAGTATTAAGGGAATAACTCCGGGAAGTGAAGCAGATTCGCCGCAGGTAAGATAACGTTGAATAATTGCTGTAGTGGAGATTTAGTAACAGAAATATATTGCAATAGTGAGTGTGCTGCAAGAGGTAAATTTCGAGAGAATGGCACCATTTTTTGATTATTAGTAAAACATGTCTGCTGAAAAATAATACAATACAAGTTGTATTCATCTATACTGACAGTCTGTACCTACTCTGTTGCAGAGTTCTATTGTAGACAATGAGTGGTGAGTGAATTGTTGCACCACAATGTTTGTAGTTGATTTGCAACTCTTGAATGCTTTGTTTCTTCAAACGAAAACAGATGATTGTATCAGTAAATTTTCACTGTTTGTTAATCATGATTTTTCATTTGCACCAAATATCAAATTGTCTTTGTCATTGACTTGTGCACAATTTTGTGACCGTTGTACTTTCTGATTTTAGAGTGGCCTTTTTCGAAATCTTTCTCTTGTACTGAAGCTTTTACAACTTAATCATGTCTTATTGGGACGCAAAACGTGTTTGTAAAAATGTTTCCACCCACCAACCCACACAGTCACATTAGATCTACGGTATGGTTAAAACCAATTGGAGAAAGTTCTTTAATTAGGAATAAAGTCGCCATGTAGCATCTCGTAATTAACAATTTATAAATTTATCAGATAATGAAAAATGATTAACAGACACAGAGTAACATTCATCCCATTGGGCTAATTATTTGTTTAAATTAAAACATGTATGTTTCAAACAGTGTATCTGTAAAAATCGTTCGTGTCATTTACTTTTGTATTATACCAATTAAACCCAATGAATCAAATGATTGTGATATGTAAAATCACCACCTAAGAGAAAAGGGCGTGACCAGAGAAAGCTTAAGGGCGTGGCTAGAAAACTTTAGAGGACGCCTAAGAGAAACAGTGGTGCCATTAAACGTTCTTAAGGGGTTGCCACCCCATTAACAGGACAAAAATTAAGGCGTGAAAATGAGGTTAAAATATAATAATCTTAATTTCTGTAAACTGATCTATTAATCTAATGCGCATAAAACTGGAGGAGCCGTAGCACCCGCACTGCGATCGTCTGAATTTGGAAAAAGGGAGTGTGGTCATATATCATAAAACAGGATATGGAAATGGCACCTTCTACCAAAAAAAAAGAGCAACTGGTTGCTATAGTTACAATGTTTATTTCACTGGGAATAGCAACGCATAATCTGTTTGCAGTTGTGACTATTGCATCTGATATTAAGAATTGCTTTAGTACCTGTCTCTTCAGTTAAATTTAACGGAATAATAACTTGTATCCATGGAAATGCACTGTCAGATAAATTTTAAAGTAAGACAAAAGATCAACCCTTAATGTGTGGAATATTATGGGCTATCTGACATTTAATTTCCATGCCTTCAACCTATGTGATATGAGGAAATTCTGTGACGTCATTTCCTAGGCCCACCCCTACTTTACTACTCCCAAAACATTGACGCATGCGCAAGTTTCTGACATTTTATTGGTAACCAACGCAAATAATGCGCTAAACGCACACTTTTTAAAAGCAACTACCAAGTATCAAAATTGCTTTGGATTTAAGGGACAGTTTCTTTGTGTAGGCAGATACAGGGTGGAAACATTTGCGGTCTGAATTATGCGCGTTATTGATTCTAATATATAAATATTATGCTTTTCCTTTGCTGATTTCTTTGATATATCTGTTAAACAATTACGGGTGACGGAATTATTTTTATGATTTGGTGAGAATTACAGTTTCTTTTCACTCCACGTACTCATAATAGCCACTTTCATTATTTCAGATTAAATCTGCACCAAGTTCGGATTTAACCATACCATTAATGCTTCCTAAGATCAACGCCAGATCGCAGCAGTCGTCGCCCTTAGTGTCGTCGACGACAATTCCTCTAAACCTACCAAAGACCAAGAAGATCACGATGTCGCCTCAGAAACCCGTACAGCGTCCGACGGATGAAAAAGGCGCGGGCGTTTTGAGTTCGCTATCGGAAGAAGATTTGATTAGAAAGGCGGCGGAAATGCTGGGCGAAACTGATTCCGAACCGAAGTCTACTGTCGATTCCCCCTCCTCGTATAAACCTGCCTCCGTTGGAGTATTTGGTGCTGGTTTATATAATGCTACACCTTCTAACTACGGCCCACCGCCACCCCTTACCCCATTACCATCGAAAAGTGCACAGTTAGAGTTAGATCAACCTCCAATTCCAGGACTTGATTAAAGTACATATTATACAGTTATATGTATTTATAATGTATTAAGATTAATTTGTTATTTTTTAATTTTTTTTAAGCTATGATTGCAATTTTACAATTTTAAGTTAGCATGTTTTTTGTACATAGTGCTGTTTTGCGTTTTGTAAATTTTTTCCCGTTGCTAATTTAGGCAAAAATACACAGTTTATTATGAAATAATATTGCATTATTCCTTCACTATTAGGTTACAATCGGGCCGAGTTGTGAACCTTACACCCTAATTGAGTGCATTTCCTCAAAGGCGCATGTGTGTTTAATTTTTCTTCCCCACAGTATCAAAATTACGTGTTTGACACAGTTTTGAAGGTGTTCCATTTGCCATTTGTAGTATAAGTTACAGCTGTACATAAAGTTAGATATTATTAGAAACATTTTTATATTAGACTTTTGTAACTTAAGAAACTAATTTTTAGTACAACATTAGCGACAAATTGTAAAAAATCTATATCTTAACAATGATTGTTAGTGGTTCTCAAAATTGTTATCCATCTGTACTTCAAAAAATATATAGTTTTAAGAAGTACGTAGATATATCTCTGTGAATAACGCTATTTTGTCATCCCTTTATTAACCTTCTGGTTTTCTCTTCAACTAGTCTGATGCAATGTTTTAATGTTGTATTCATTCTGTTATTTGCCGTATATTGCATGAGACTACAAAGAAAGGGAGTTTTAAAACGTTCTACAAGTTAGCTAGCATTGGCCATTTTCTACATGAAACAGTTATCATGGTATTGAAGTATATATTTAACCCGCAGTCAATCTAATCTAATCTTTTTAATTTGGTCAAGATGCTCCTTGGACCTTCGTCTTGAACTTATCTAATAGTTTTAGTTTTAAGTACAGCATCCCCAGTGCCATTCACTTTTTCATTTAGAAAATGAAAGCTCAAAATTTCCTGCAAAAAAACGTATAAAATTTTTTTTTCTTGCATTAAACATTTGGAAGATATAGGTACCTATAGATGTATATGCAGAACGGCCAAGAAGTCTAGTTTCCCCACCATGACCTTAAAAAACGCCTTCCAACATGTCTGGTTTCAAGCGACTTAATTTTTTTATCAATTTGCTACAAGGAATAGCTCGGAAACCATTTGAAATAGTCTTGACATTTTGTATCACATTAAAGGTCTCGAAAAAAGGAAAACAACAGTGAAGAAAAAAATGAGGGGGGGGGGTGCCATTTGAAAAAATGGAGTTACGGATATTTAAAAGTTTAGAGCTTTGAAAAAGTGACGCAGTCTCACTTTTTTAGATGGTTAAGCATACCATAAGAAAATACGATATTTCCTTAATAAAGCAGTGAAAACTTTTGCAATATCTCTTCCTGTTTTTTGAATACTTTCGACGTAGAATCCGAAAACATAGAAAAAATAGGGGACCCTATTTGAAAATAACAAAGTTGATGGGTGCTTTCTGTATTTGTGGAAGTAGCGCCATCTTGAAAATATTTTAGTTCAGTTCATCATTTGCCAAAACACTTAGGGACTTATCAGTTTAGTTTCATTTTCAATGGTTCTCCATCTTTCTAACTGACGCTCGTCAAAAATGACCCTGTATAGATATGTATAGACAAAAAGAGTATTATAGTTACTCTTTGGTATAGAATAGGAGATAGTATAATTGTGCAAATAGTTTATTTTATTTGCCTAAGTACTGGAGCATAACAGTTGTGTAAGAGAACAAATAGTAATATTTCAAACACCATACAGTAAAACATAGGCAAAAAAAACACCAATCGTTACTGTGCTATTAAAGTGCTCTTTGCAGGTATGGGCAAGTAAATTTCATTTTGCAAATGGCTGGACTTTCTTTGCACGTCCATCCCATCTTTCGCGTACTGGTTGCAGCAAAATTGGTAGTATTTCGCACGCAAAATGATAAATTATTTCTGCCGCGCTTAAAAAGCTGAATCCCAAAAAGATACATAAAATCCCTCCCATATTTGCTGAAAATCATGGATAATTAGCTTTAATTTTTTTCGAAAATACTCACATAATAATTCCAAATTATCATATATCTCATTCTTGGTGGATCTACCAACAAAATATGTCGTCGGAAACAATTTCACAATTGCTACTCCCTTTCTGTAATAGTGCCGACAAAACTTTTGCATTTTTTTGAACGGTATCTACTCACAAAAAGTTGTCAATGCTCTCATTCGCTAAAAGTTTCTGTAAGTTTGGGAAATTGCTAAGTAGCCATCTGTGAGTAATGCGCTTGTAAGATTTGGACGCGCGAAAATCATATTCATTGCAGTTTGGTAGGCATTTGCACGTAGATCTAAAACGTTATAAAATAAATTCGTTGATCAATTTTGAAGTTTTACGTTTGAAGAAAAGGTCCTTCCTGAAAGGTAACTAGCTCTAAAAGTAAATGCATTCAGTCACGTATTAAAAGTAGGTAACATACCGGAAACTTGATTTTGGCAAGCCTTATGGCGCTGTTCACAAATTGGTGAAGTGCGATTGCCTGGTGAGATGTAGTTACATAGGGTACGTATACTATAAATATGTAACTTACTTAACGCATAGTAGGGAACACAATTACACATTTCTGTTGTGTAGTTGATTTGGCATTCCATCAGGCACTTAAGCAATGAATAGCTTCTAAAAGCATAGTTTTAATAGTGCAGTTTTGTGTGACGACTACCTAATTACTTATACAACTTTAACTTTCGTTCGTTGCTAAAGTGACACCAGCGACTTGCTGCAGTTGTGTCGTGTGTTAAGGAAGTCCTTGCATCTTTGATAAGTGGGGAAATTGCAATCTCGATTTTGAACCCTGGAAGAATGGTAATTAAACCCTCGCCCAGTGGCAGTTCCAAGGGATCGGCTATTGAAATCTGCAAGATCAACAAAAAGTGGTGTACCAAATTGAGCACTATATACCTTAAATCCGGCGCTGTTTGTAGAAGAACAAAAGTAATTGTCAACATCTGTCTTTAACATTATAGTTAATCCCGAACCTACGGGAATAAAATGACTATTGAAATGAATAACTGAAAAAAAAAGTACCTATTAACCTCCATGGAATTGTCTCATTTGTAGCATTGGGCGAGAAGCCTGTTTCAACAGCCCATTTTTCCGCGTTGTACGGTCTGCGATCTTTCAAAAGGTCCTCATATGGCCTTAAGATTAAAATCTTGTTACTACGATAACATTTACGCCCTACCTAGGTCCATACATGTGATTAAATACGCTCTTCATGGGAAAATGGTTGAAGCTACAACATGCCCCCTCATTTGTTATAACAGAACTGAATATACTTTTGCAATCAACTTCTTTTTCCAACCAAAAACACAACCTGACCGTTTCACGACATTTTGGCGATACCTATTGAAACCATAGAAAATTCACTTCATTGTTAGAAAATTTGATGAATGTGACACACATAAGAGATGTTGAGTAACTTATGTAAGACAGACACTAATAAACTTTATTTTTGAGCTTAGAGTACGATGATCACTGAGGTACCTACACTGATGGTAAAGATCAGCGTGTCATGCAATTGAAGCCTGTATGACCTCCCCGCCTTCTCGGCCGATAATGTTTACTAACAGAGAAGTTCACATAAGGGTAATAACACCAACAGAATTTAACGTCTGCCTTAAAAGTAAGGAGGTCTGGCAAGTTGCCCAATCCATTTTACCTCAGCTCCCTTTAGGAACCCTATAGCATGAAGGCGTAAAGGGTAATACGCCTATTTGGGGCGTTTTTACCACTCTACCTCTACGCTACCGTGATTTGGGCCCTGTTACAGACTTTGGCAAGTGAATGACCGTTGGGGTCTGTCCAGGGGGGTAAGCCAATAGTTTTCTTGAGGTGAATGCACGATCGCTTTGGTAGCGCATATGGTTTTCTCTCAGCTTGTTCTTTCCAGGATAGTTCTGGTAGGTGATCTTGGGTGTGGTTTGCATCTTGATGTTCGAGTCTCGGGTGAGTTGTTGGACAAAAGTATACTATTCTTCTAATAATTCGTTCTTGAGTTACCCTACAGGAGTGAGACTATATACTGTCCGTCTGTGTGCTCAATACATGCGTTAGCGGCGAGTGGTACTGCTGTTTGCAGGTTGCATGCGCTCTTAGTGGAGTTTGTGGGTGGTGCTGTTGAGAGTTGAGAGGGGCAGGGCGGCGGGACGCAGGATGTGGTTGGCTGCTTCTGCCTGGTGCGCTTGTTGCTAACTGTCAGCGCACTTTCGCTGGCCTCCTCGTCCTCTCCTTGCCCGTCCGCCATTTCGAGTTCTCATCTTCGGAAGTGGAGAGGTTGCGGGAATATTCGAAAAATCCCGATAGGCATCGAGGCACCATAAAATATTAGTCATCGGCGATAAGAATCAAAAGCGGATGTGATGCATTCTTTCTGGGAAATATGACGTGTTTGTTCGAGAGCATTATTTCTTAAAATGTCTGTTTCGTTAAATTAGATATGCCACGTCCTTTTTATCTTAGAATAGCGGAATTCTGCAATTATCACAACTCATTCCTTTTATCAACCACAATTGGTTGATTGTTTTACAGAAGGTTGCCAGTACTAGTCCAATCTGACTAAACTTAAGAGAAGCAATAATGTTCTCTCATAATTTAAAGAAACTGCGATACAGTAACTTTTAGACTTGTGTGCAAATAAAACTCACCCTTTTAGTGAAGTTAATGAAATGCACTTGCTCAATGGGTGCTGGTCTAGCATTTAACAGATCGTCACCATGGGGATCTTTAGCATCGCACAATACGCCAAGACACCTTTTGCTGAAATCTTTATTAAAAAACTTAAACGAGAACGGATCACTAATACTTACTGAAAAGGATCGTCCGCTTTTAACGCTCGATTTTTATTCGCTCGATTCATGTCACAAACTGTGATAGTTGGAAAAGGCAAACGGTCTGCGTTTATCGGACGTGGATTTATACTTATTATAATTCGGTCATTGTAGTTGTTAACTATGGTTATTATAAAATAACCGGACAAAAAGCTGGCTGCAATAAACGCCGCTAACCAGAATAGCCTGGTGCAAATATAATAAAGGAGAAACGAGAATTTTGTTAATTCATGGTACATACCGCTCTATCCAGCATAATTGTTGATTTCCAACGTATTTTAGACCATGTAGAGTACATTGTTGTAAATAATTGTTTATTTTTTCATTCAGTAATTTCCTGTCGATCATTTCACTGGTAACAAGTGAAGTCTGCTTTGTTTTAGACATTGGAATTCATTACTTTAATTAATTCAGATGGCACTGTCTAATTAACTATTTGGCTGATTGATAACGAATGTCAACTTAAATATATAATTACTTATACTGCTATACATTAATTGCTTGAAATTGATTATAACTGTGAATTTAAAAAAAATGAGTGTAATTAACTATAGAACGCAAAAGGTTTTACTTTACATGACATGCGAAGCTGGATCAACAGTAACGTAAAAAGAAGGAACGCTAACATAACATTTAAAATCAATAAAAACAGTCATGTACTAATATGCGTTGCGAGTCAATCATAGACCAGTCAAGTATAAAAAACAGTTAATAATAATTACTAATCTGTTTGACTGTTCAATTTTGATGGAGTATTTGATTCGACTGGTCAAGTGATAAAATGTCAATGTTGAAATAAATCTCCAGCAAGGAATACTTTTACATCTCTGTAAATGCATAACATTTATTTAACAAGTACATTACAACCGCTCATTATATTTGTGTAACTGTTATTTCATATGGACATACATTTTGTTCGGTGCAGAGTTAAAACAATGTTACAGATTAAATTTGTATATAATAAATTAATAATCACATATATAAAAGCAGATTGAAGAGGTAGCTAGATTAGATTAAAAAAAATATCAACTATAAGTGAAAACGATGTGCTCCATGACGAAAACGTAATTTTATCTATTTAGCTTAAAATGATCGATAATCCGTTGGATACTTTGATGGTAACATACTTGTCATATAACGAACGATGTGATTCCAACCAATGATGGAACAAATTTCGATTAATTTTTCCTCAGTTTCGCGACTATTTTTTTCTTCCTGGTATTTTTGGAGTAGTTTCAACAGCCTTCCGTGATGTTTGTAGATTGTCGCATGCCACATTGCAAATGTCAGCACAATGGATGCAGATGACTGCAAATTAGGTTAAATTCAGAATGTGGCGACACCAAGAAGTATTATAATAGACCTTTTCAGTTAAAGGAAACATTTTTCTTACATTGCATGTAACATCACAAGTCAGTGGTTGAACTGAAGGGGGACAGAACCAATACTCTTTAAAAATAATTACAACACACCATTACACATTTGGGAAAATAGGCTTGTGTCCAAGATCGCATGGCCCACTACTAGAAAATTGCACCCCTGCATTTCAACTACTGACCACTTGAGTTATTTCTAAAAATTCCGAAATGAGAATTAAGAACAGCTATATCCATTAAGTGTCAAACACAAGGTGTGTAGTCGTAGACTCTTTCACTTTTTCAAAATATACACTACCTTATCATTAGGATCTGCAAAATGTAGCAATGCTTTCCAAGTATCCGAAATTTCTTCCAAACTCACTTTATTATACTCTTTCGAGCCTTCATCAGTGGATAATTGGGACATCTGGTAAATGTGACACATCGCGATACCTTTGTGACACAAGCTCTCAACCAAAATATTCTTCTGCTTCTCCATATTGCTGTAAGAAGCCCAGTTACACCAAAAAATGAATGGGAGGAGAGATACCTTTTTATCTTCGAAGCATCCTGTCGCGGATCATTCTTTATGCCAAAGTAAATTAGAAGTGACTCTTGATTAACGTTAGCTATAACTTTTTTGGCAATGTTCATTATCTTTTCTAAATCGTCGCGGTTATAGCTCTGAATTTCCTTCTCTTCGAATGCGGGAAGTACGTGTTTCGGATCGGACGGTATTATGTTTTGTAAGTACGATATATGAACTTGTAAATGATCGGGATATTGAGAACACAATTGGTTATAAAGCGCTTCTGCTGTAGAACTCGCATCTGAAATTGTTTAAGGTGTATTCTTGCACGGATGTGATTGAATTTACCGAGTTTTGCTAGCCATGCAACCTCCAAATCCCGTAATGCTTCCTTATATTCGTCGGTTTTTGACTTGTCTTTGTCCGGTGATTTAGAGGCTTTTTTCGAATTTTCACTCAGAATGTATTTTATGGGATAAGTGTCTACTTTCTTTCCAAGTTCGTCTTTAGCGTAAGTTACTGTGCCGATGAGAAAATGAGCAAAGTTATTGGTCTTTGACGAAAATCTGTAAACGCATTACTGTGAGAGCACCAAATACAATTCACAAAAGCATACTTATCAGTTGTTAATGCTGATATATAAAGAGGAACTGTAGAGGAATGAAGGGTATGGCCAAATGCGGCTTTCTTGTCACCAACAATCGCTTGAGCATGACTGCTATAGACATCTAATGCTATTGTGGATGGTAATTTTTGATTTAAGAGAATCGAAGTGTCAGTTAATTTATCCAAATAATCTCTCCTCTCATGACGAACTTGTAACTTTATAGTGTAATCGCCCTTCTCCAACTTAATGGAGTACTACAATATAAACATTAAAAACCAATTCTGTACCAAGACTGTACACAGAATTCAATGCTTTTCCAAGGTATCTTAACATAAAACTGTTGCTTATATGGGCTGTAATTAATTATTGTAACATAAGAGTTTGCCCACGCGAGGTTACCCACGCACGCGCAAGCTCAGTTTTATGAATCAAAGGCGCTAACATTTGCGTACTCGTTGTAAAGGTTTAGTTACATTTACAAGGGTCGCATAAAATAAAATTGAACTTCTACGGCACTGGAAAAAAAGTGTAATATGACAATTTCTATTTGAACCATGGTTAGCTCAGCAATAAAAATATATTCAAACCCCTTACGTTGAGGAGGTTTGGCCCTTTATCTCCTCTTGAAATCTGAACGGCGAAATTCAATGCTCTGGTTTGATTGAACTCAAATACATAAGTACTCATATGAATTTAGTTGATTAAATACAAAGTATGATCAACAAAATTTTGATTCAGGGAAGGCTCTGGAAAATTTAGGTCATGTGTAATCATCGACCATTTAAACCTGGACTGCTGGCGTCGTATAATATCTAGTATAAAACTTGAAACCCAGCGCCATCACTGAGTATGACTAAAATAAGAACTAAATCTGTGGCGCTAAATATGAAAATTGCAAGGACAAGGTATACCTACACAAAATATGTTTGGATAATGATAACAATAGATCGTGGATTAAGTTTTTATATAACAAATGCACAAATGTTTATTGCAGCGCTTAACCAGTCTCCAGGATAACGTGTAGTAAATGACGGTGAGGGTGTTACACAACATTCATTTCTTCAACTTGTTCTTGGTCGGAGAAACTATTCATTTGGATTTGGAAAAATTAAAAGAACCGAATTAGCCTTTTACTTGCGCGAAAAACGTTTCTGTTTTAACGTCCTTGTTGTGAGGTGATAAACTGCATCACAATTTTTTACAAAACAACTTCAGCGTCCCATTTTTAATTAATTATTCTGCGTGAAATATATTCAATAAAAAATAACATGGAAGGTAATTTGAGGAACAGCAACACTGTTAAGAATGTATTACAGTTTCTAGTCCGCAAATATATAGGTACAAGAAACTATAGTACCTATGCAAGGCGCCAAAAGACCGCAGCAGTTGGTGCGCCATATTCGTTAAAAAAAATTATACATAAGTAAGACGCTTCTTAAATTTTGACTATGCAAGCAATCTAATTATTTTTTCATCCAAGTGTCTAATATTAATTAATTGGACAGCTTGCGGTCAAAGATGACGATAAAAATGAACTACAATTACACATGACCGATACTCTATCTCTCTGTTTCAGGGTCAACTTGAGTCACGGAATTATAGCTCATACCTTATTAATCAAAACAATGGCATCCATGCTAAATGTGATCTATTATCTAAGCTTGTCATTTAATACATAAAAAATTTACACACACCTCTGAATGAAGCAAAGGAATGGTATCACTGAAATTAAATGCAATTTTCCAATCAATGAAACAAAATAACAAAAACTCACTTTTTTTTATTCGATTCGATCAATAAATATAATACGAAATTTGTTGCACGCAAATAATTTTTTCACAGGTCAATTCCATAAAAATGAACTACAATTACACATGACCGATACTCTATCTCTCTGTTTCAGGGTCAACTTGAGTCACGGAATTATAGCTCATACCTTATTAATCAAAACAATGGCATCCATGCTAAATGTGATCTATTATCTAAGCTTGTCATTTAATACATAAAAAATTTACACACACCTCTGAATGAAGCAAAGGAATGGTATCACTGAAATTAAATGCAATTTTCCAATCAATGAAACAAAATAACAAAAACTCACTTTTTTTTATTCGATTCGATCAATAAATATAATACGAAATTTGTTCCACGCAAATAATTTTTTCACAGGTCAATTCCATAAAAATGAACTACAATTACACATGACCGATACTCTATCTCTCTGTTTCAGGGTCAACTTGAGTCACGGAATTATAGCTCATACCTTATTAATCAAAACAATGGCATCCATGCTAAATGTGATCTATTATCTAAGCTTGTCATTTAATACATAAAAAATTTACACACACCTCTGAATGAAGCAAAGGAATGGTATCACTGAAATTAAATGCAATTTTCCAATCAATGAAACAAAATAACAAAAACTCACTTTTTTTTATTCGATTCGATCAATAAATATAATACGAAATTTGTTCCACGCAAATAATTTTTTCACAGGTCAATTCCATTAGGAATATTAAAAGTACTTCAAAGCGAGAGGTGGCGATGCCAGGCATATGCCAAAGTATCAAGTATCAACTTCCCAAAAATAACCGAAAAAATGAAAGTTATTGACGTGGATAATACTCTCTTTTGGTAACAAATTGACATTATCTCTCCTTGGAAAACGCCGCTTCCTTTAGAAATATGGAAACAAGACACCGCCCTGGTAACGTTATCTTCGTGATAAATACAAAGTTTAGGGGAAGAAGTTTGTATCAATCGCGAATCCAAGCAAACCTGCTTCAATTTCGCAAAATTAATACTCGAGAGCGTGATTATGCGAAGGAATAGTAGGCCAATGTTCCACTGTGTTTATATGAATTTTGCCCAATTTATTAACTAGGTCTTGTTGTGCACCGATTAATTATCTTTAAATTCCCTGCCAAACGCCGCTGTATACAAAATTTTATTTATCGCACAAGACGCTGTCCAATGACGTCACTCAACTTTGAGGAATTTTCTTTTAACCAGCTGTTACATTTGACGATCCTAAAGAAAATGTGAGTTTTAATGTGCGTTTATTTAATCCCGTTTCTATTTGAAGAGCGCTTCTGCGGATCGAAAATGTTCCTTCGCGTAAATGTTACCACTCGTAAATAACCGTCCTTGTTGCGAATTAGGCTTAAACTTCGATCCCAACGCAAAAGCAAGCTTGAGGGAAACTCGCACTTTGTCACCAACCTGGTTTCAATTAACGTCGCGAATGAAAAAATGCAGCAATGTTTAGTTTAGAATTTTTCAAAATGGTTCGTAACCACTCGCGAAATTAGCTTTCAAAAATCGCAATTATGCGAAAAATAAAATTCTCACACACATAGTACTCGAAAGTAAAACCTCGTCTACCGAACACCCTCTTTACAACTTGGGACCTCTCTTCGTTTATCTTGAAACGCACACTTTTATTAAAAACGTACACGTTGTTATCGCCTATTATTTCCAAACATACTTGTGTTCACGTTTGTTATGAAGCGGACAGACAGATGGACAAAGAGACCACAATCATGAAGTTGAGTCGCGCGTTAATAATATACATATATAATATATAAATAAATAATACCAATAACCAAGAAATTGTCATTTTATCCTGCCATCTTTTGTTCACTGTCATGTCTGCAATAAAAATACGTATAAAATGCAATACTGCAAATAATATTTAATAAAAATATAACAAGTGTTACATCTATTTTTTTAAACAAATTGTACGCTCTTCGACTCCAATATATATAGGGTGGTCTGTATGAAAAAATATAGGTTAGGGTCACATAATAAAATCCAAACGGCCTGTATAAAAACTGTAATGCAATGGATTCTACATAAAACAAGTGCTGTAAAAAAGATTTAGCCAAAATCATTTTTAACAATAAGAAAGATATGGAGCATTAAAAAAATGGACTAAATTCAAGAAACGCCCCTTAGCGCCCAAACGATTAGAGATAGTTAAATTCTGTTTGCGCCAGTGATTTTCTCTGTATAATTGAGCTTGACATCTAGGTCCATTTTTTATCTCTTAAGATAAAGGGCGTTTCCAAAGGAAAATGTTCAATTTCAAAACACACTGTATATACTTAAATAGCGCTTGGAGTAGGATTGAATAAAAAGGGGGATTCTGACAATAGCACCTGGATAGATTAATTCAATTTTGTAGAAGATGGTATTCAGAGGCAATTTTAATACTCTACTGGTGATTGCATTAGCCTTCACTGCGGAAAACAGACAATTTTTACACTAAACAACCGACTATTTGATCTGACCAATACCTTCGGTACAATGTAAACACAATATAATTGAACTCATCTCTCACTACATAAGTGGCACAGATCACCTGTCATAAAAGCATCAAATTCTGCACACACTTTCTAGGTATCGAAAACTTACCTTAGACGGATATGAATCTCCACATCCCATCATTTGCTTATTGCTATCATATAGCAACCAAAATTGCGATTCAAACTCGGATTCATACAGAACGTCGCTCAAGATTGCGTAATTCGGTGTAACATCGGTTGCTTTATTTAAATGAAAACTATAAGACAAGATTAATTCGTATATCTGTCGACCTTTCGGAATAATGTCTCTAGCGGTTAAAGCATTTATTTTGGCATCGGTTGGCCTGTAAATAAAGATTGAATCGCACTGATAGACCATTGCACTTTACCTCAAAATTTGGACGGAATTTTTCAAGGTGATACAAGGTAAAATTTCTTCGCCTTGTAAACTGGAAACTTGTAAGGAATGGATTCCTTCCGATGCGAACATACTGATGGATGGTTGACTAGGTTTAATACCGTGAAATGAAATTAAGTAATTTATACTAGTGTCACCTAAGTTAGCCCAATATTTAGCTACAACTATTTCCAATACATTGCCGCCTCGAACTTGGAAACTTTGTACAGTATCTGTGTTAGGCATGACGGTTAAATTCTTGTTGATTTCTAAACTTTTGCAACTTTGTTTCGGCAGTAACTGCATGCAATGTAAAACGAAACGACCAGTTTGCTCTTCATTTCTGCACCTCAAGCGTATTACTCCCCAAGTCGCTAGCTCAGGTACAACATAAAAATGACGTTTGATTGTGTTTGGTTTAAATGTGACGTTATCAAAATGAACTGTATAATTTGGAGCAGGAACCTGTTCGGCTTGTATAATAGTAATTGGTATACGGAAAACTGGGCCTTTTGCTACACAGTTGACATCAAATGCATCTATACTCGTGCTATGAATACCGTATTGCAGTCCAGATGTATCTACTTTAATAGAAATTGTTCTTGCCATATTCGACATGTCTAAATGACTAGGATAACTCACATAACTCGCTTTGCAAATCAACACTAATCTTAAATTAAAATTCAATTTGCATTCGACTTTTATAGATTCAATGTCTTTAAAGAATGGTTCTATGTTAATCGAACATTCGTGGTTCTTCCGTTCACCTTTAGAACGTATGTAAACGCCCTTTGTGTTGCCAGAACCGCACGTAATGTGAAAACGTACATCACACTCCTGTACTTTAGAGTAATTGATTAAAAATTCCATCGATTTATCAACTTGTACGAGTCCTGTACCTTGCGCGAAAGGTTCTACATTATCCAAGTAGCTTGCGCAATTTTCCAATGCCCTTTTTATACTGTAGGGCGAGTACGCCAAATCGCGCTGCTGTAATCCGGAAATCAACAGAGCGACTATTCCGGCAACGTGCGGGGAAGCCATAGACGTGCCGTTCATCAGTTGCGAGTTACGCAAGGTAAAGTTAGGAACGGAGGTAATCGCACCTCCAGGTGCGCACACGCTTACACCAAAACCGCCGTCGATGGTGGGCCCCCGTGATGACCATGTGTACGCCATACCTGTTGATAAAAAATGGAAATATTAATTGGGTCGAATTAAATGCAAATTTTAGACTTCACATCCATCCAAAATTTATTTACCATCGCCTTATGAGCATTTATGATCAGTAGAAAATATTTGTTTCATACACTCATTGCCTTGGGACGACATGTACCCCCACGACTAGGGGACTGGTCATATGCTCCATGTTACCAAATACTCCAGTTTATAACATTATTTTCTTACCGCTTGATATTCCTGATTTAAATTGCATTTAAGTAACTTTATGATTCTTACTATATTTTACAGTGACTTTATATTTATATTAAGTCACTGTACTATGTTTGATATTCTTACGCCATCTAGGTATTTCCTTTGTAATCTACTAGTTTAAATGTAAATTATTCTTGCAGTCGAGTTCTTTTACCTTAATTCTTTGTTTTGCAGTTAGAGGACATCCAAGTGTTATAGATTCATTACTATAATTCTTTATTTCGCCGCTTGAGGTCGTGCAGATGTTTTTCATGATACTTCTGATTCTATCCCTTTTTAAATTTTAGTTTGCCCATGAGTTGTATTTCTCGCGCAGTGAAAATTTTGCCTTTGTGTTGGTTGGTTGCAAATTATTTTTCTTCGGTATGCCATTACTTTTTCTACTGACCTCGTATCTACCTGTGTAAGGGTTTTTGGTTGTGGCTGTCACCATATATCTTTGGAGTGATTGCTCTTTCCCTTTTTGATGTCTGTGGTTGTACTTCATTGAAGCGTTTTATGGGTTTGTATTTGCATTAATCAGCACGGGGTACGTGAACATTTTGAATTACCATCAAGTACGTTAACTTGAAATAATTATGTTTGTTTACGAGACAATTTTTGCCTATGTAAAGTATGGGAATCTTGGGAAAAGTGGGGTGCCTAAAAGTTTGTTCAAACCTAGTAGAGTATGGGGCTCTTACTCATTCACAAATAATGCTCATCCATTGTCTGTATAGACATGTCAAACCTTAAAATGTATTTTTATAATGACATTATATCTAGACACAATATAGTGGCGACACAAAAACAATGGAACGAGAGAAGAATAATTGCAGTTTTATGGGTTGAACGTAATGCCTGTTTTTAAAGCACACGGCAGAACTGGGTACTGCTCGCGAGCTTCCCGCTCGAAAAAGCGCTCCAAGCGGAAAAAGCGCTCGCAAGCACTTTTCGGAGCGACCGCTTGGTGCTCGATACTCGAGTGTTTACTTAAAATGCTCGGCGCTCGAGCGTTTTTTTCTGCCGACGAGCAGTTTTTCCGCTCATGAGCATTTTCTTTCGCTCGCGAGCGGAAAAAGCACTCGAGTCGGTCGTTTTTTCCGGTCCCGAGCGCTTTTTCCGCTCCTGAGTGTTTTTTTTTTCGCTCGTGAGCGCTTTTAACCGCCCTCAAGCGCTGAAGGATCAAGCGCCGCTCGCGAGCGTTTTTTCCGCTCCTGAGAGGTTTTTTCCGCTCCCGAGCGCGTTTTCCGCTCTTGAGCGTTTTTCCGCTCACGAGCACTTCTCCCGAGCGCTCGCGATAAACCGCTCTAGCACTTTTAGGAGTGCTCGGAACTCGCAAGCGGTTTCGCTTTGCAAAACAACTCGATGCGCGCGAGCATTTTTGAGAAAATAAGGGTGCTCGTCGCTCGAGTTGTTTTTTAGAACGCTCGACCCACCTCTGGCACACAGTTAGATATATTCCAACAAATCTAATGTCTGCAGCACTAAGGGTCTCAGGTTGAATGCGGGGTCGGGCATTGCAAAAGTATAGTGGGTTGGGTTGGTAAAGCAGACAAACTATGGCCTTTTTAGGGCATTTTTTAAGAACTAATAAATGTGCTATTGTTTGCGTTTTGTTAAAATTTAAGCAAGATTGGTCCATAAACAAAAAAGTTAAATCTGCGCATGCGCGGAAGGATATGGCCTATCGGTCTGAAAATTAATAAGAGTCGTCCCCAAACAGCAAACGATACTCCTGCAAAAACTGACAAAATTTTTCCCACTGGATTTTGAATTATCTTGCTAACGACAACAATTTTTTCTGTGATGAAAACAATACATATGGGTGCGAAAAAGTAATATGAATACTCAATGATTTCTGAAGATTCCTCACCTAACAATTTTTGCCACATTGAATACTCAGCAACCATCATCTCGGGCGAAACGTACGCACCCACTCCAATAATGGTCTCTTGGCTAATATCAGGCGGTGTACCTACAGTGCTTAATGCAGGTCCATGATTACCCGCCGATGCTACCCAAGTAACTCCATATTTGTTTACAACCTCGCTCATCAGTTCTCCTATACGCCTATGAAATAATTGGCAACAAATGTTAATCGACAATTTATCTAATTACCCTGTATTTGACCAGTGCGCATGTTCGCCATAGCTCATGTTTATGACATGGACTGGTGTCGTCTTCTGTAATTCGATTACCTTGATCATCGCACGAACTAAAGCGGTTCCAGTTTCCATCGACCCTAAACGTCCATCACCTATTGTGAGCGAAACAATTTGAGCACCCGGAGCAACTCCATTTTTCTCTGGTGAATCCGGAAAGTAAGCGGAGGCGATTGAGGCTACATGAGTACCGTGGCTTGCTGAAACATCAAGGTGCTTACAATGAAAGCAACAGATTAGAATTATTACAGCACAGTCCAACAAGTTCCAACACGCTTCCTTCATTATGCACGTTGATGCTAAAATTCAACTGATCAGCTTTGGTCAGTGGATGAAATTCTTTTGTGATACTGTATTCTCCTAAAAGAGGGCACTGATTCAATTCCCCTTTTTCCGTTGTATCAACGCAGGCAACCCATTTAGTTCCATCGTGAAACAAAACACAGTCATACACTGGCCCAACATCCGAGTACTTCTTCTCATAATTCGTCAACACCTCAATTCTGGCTTCTAAATCTTCTTTGTCTAACTTCTCTTCTTCTGTTAAATTCTGCTTACCTACACAAAAAAGATAATTACTGTCTTGGCGGTTTTTTGGAGTAATACCCGAATGAAGAGACTCAAATTTTGTTAATGCGCGATTCGCTTCCGCGCACGATAGTTTGTGTGGATCGTCCCAGAGTTTCTCTTTTCTTTCTTCTTGCATTCGTTCCTGAAGTCTCTTAGGATATAGATCGAATGCACTCTTCACTCCTAGTCTATATTTGTTGGTTGGATTTGACCAATTTTCTGGTATCTAAAATAATAACAATGGTGTAGTTTCGGGCGTAGTACAAGATTCCTCGTCACAATATAGTAAACTAGCTCTTTAACAGTCATATAACTATGCTAAGTTTCCTTTTGTGAGTAGGAGTAGATAAAGTGATACTTTAACAGCGAGAATTTCATGATGCTGCTATTTGAAATTTTCTGGCTACACTGTCTACAGTTAGAAAACTGTAGACTCTGCATCTTCAGCTATTATTCTACAAGTAAATGGACCCAAAAGAATTTTAGAGTAAGAAAGCAAAAGGGTAAAACAAATCATTATAGACAGCAACCTTTGATCATGAACTATAGAAAATATACGCTTTTAAGAAAACAATGAACCTCAAAAACATATTTCAGAGTAAGTTGTACTTTCACGTGAAATGGAAAAAGCTGGTAAACATATTTACCAAAGTGTCTTCCTTACAAACCCCATATTTGCTCCCCAGACAACACACGTCGAGGTAAATTCGCATCCGTATCATTTTTTCCTGCAATATTCCCTCCCACTGGAATTTTTGCTCACCAGAAAATTGCTCAAAGGATGCATGCGCGGGTTGAATATGGCGTAACCTAGTTTCTTTCCATATTATGTGTTTTAGAAGTCCTTAGAATATTATTAGTTGTGTGCTACACGTCATAGGAGTCAAAAAACTGTAGATATAAAACAAATTGTTTAATAAAATCGATACAAGTACCAGGAACATACTCAAAACATCAACGCAAAGGCGTTAGTTCCATGTTTATGTTATTGTAACTGAGAAAATATTAAGAAAGCACAAATTTTGAGTTTTTCTGGATATTACTCTCAAACTTCCATGACATTGTGAAAATGCACTTCTAATATATACACAAAACACTTCCAGTAATATTTACCCATTGCCCCCAACTTGCTTTTCCTTCCTTGCTGCCCAAGATACAGGTGCTCTTCATTTAATTTAAGAATAGTGACAATACATTAAAATGCTAAGTAACATATCATCAGATTCTAGTGACCATTGTTCTACCGCCTAATCCACAACCAATTCATTCTTTCAGGGCAGCCTTTTACGTTATCGTTTTACTAGGATTACCGTAATAAAAATCATATTCTTATCTTAAATCAATAACGTAAACAAAAAAAGGAAACTACCTCATGCAGATAACACAAGCAAATATGTTAGGTAAATCCAAATGACCTTACTTTTAACTTACGCCCCGTCAGACCTGTGAGATAACCATCTTTAGGCTGGACAATGGTAGTGGTTGTAACATCACCACAACCGCTGCAATCGAATCTTTCAATCACCTTAACCTTTCCATCAGATGTCATCTAGAGTAAAATGATTAATGCCATAATATGTACGAGTAACTTACCTGTAATCCGGGAGCTCCAGGATCTACACCTGAATCGAAGATAGCAATTACTATACCTCTACCATCATATTCGGGATATTTATTTAGGAAAGTGACAACTCCTGTCTCTTTCTTAGGTAGTAAGCCCCATACGGGAAATTCCGTATCGATGCTATTATCTGCCATTTATATTGATTGAAGTAATTTATTTTAAAAATTTAAACTTATGCACAGTCACTCATTCATGAATAGAAAAGTGGATATGGGTAGGGTTAACCATAACCACTAAACAGATGAGATGAGGGAACATAAACACTGACGCAGATGACAATGGAAGTAACTCCGCGTACGTCAGTTCATCTAAACGTACCATTCCGACCGGCAGTCAAGTCTTCACGTCTCTGCAGTCGCAGCTCAGCAGTTTCACCGTGCTCTGCCACACAGAGCGCGATCTGTATTCTATGTAAATGCATTTTTACCCGCCAAACAGAGAGCTTTTCTGACCGCGCGGTGAACCGCGTTTAACAAAATACAAATATTACCGCTAACCGCTCTCTATGTAGCAAAGCCTTTAGGAATTTTTATGTGGCGCTCTTAGATCAGATCTAAGGGGGCGTTGTCCGATCAAGGCGACGCTGCCGGGAAAAATGAGACTAACGATGCAATGACAAATGTAACACTGATTGAATTTACATGCCAAATTTCTTCCGTGTCCGGCAGTAACACAAACTATTTTAGACCCAGGATTTATTTGTGAGAAATATTCGTTTTGGTGGTCTTTTTAATTATTTTGTTACACTCTGTATACAATGGTAATATTACCAATTAAAAAATTAAAAAGTCCCTAGTGAAGGTAGTGGCCACTGACGAACTTCATTTAAATGTATGTATGAAATTGATTTTATTTAACAATTAGCCGATTAAAACATTTAGTTTAGATCGTTTTTTAAAATCGCATAAACGTTAACAAAAACAGCTTGATAATACAACTTCATAAGTTCCGTAGAAGGCAATTTATTGAATTAGTTGAGGATTATGTAATATCTTAGGTTATAACATTCTTGCTATCTACATTGCAGCCCTACCGAAATGGCTGCAGTAAGAAGCATCTCACGGTTGTTGTCCCAAAGGTCCGTCAGTCAGATTGTACGGAGAGGATATGCGGATGAGATGAGCTTTACATTTGCGGCTGGAAATCAGGTAAAACGTTTACATTATCAAAGCGTCGATGAGATGAATTTACTTTTAGGTGTTTTATGAGTCCGCCTCTGTCCGTCAGGTAGATGTGCCCTCATTTTCTGGGGCGTTTGGTATTTTACCAAAACATGTACCTACGTTAGCTGTGTTAAAACCTGGAGTTATCACGGTTACGGAGAATGATGGTTCTATTAAGAAAGTATTCGTGTCAAGTGGTACGGTTACAATCAATGAAGACTCCAGTGTGCAAGTGAGCAATTTCTGATTAATTTGCATCAAACTTTACATTTTGATAGGTAATTGCTGAGGAAGCGGCAACATTAGATCAGTTAGACCTTGCAGCAGCGAAGGAGACATTAAGTTCTGCATTAAGTCAAATGAACTCTGCACAATCGGAAAAGGTATGGGATGATTGTCATAATTTTTATCACATTGTTGCTTTTTTTATAGGAAAAAGCTGAGGCTGCTATTGCTGTAGAAGTCGCAGAGACTATTGTAAAGTCTATTGAATAGAGTTGTTAATATTACCTTTAAGTAAAATGTCTGTAGTTATCTCATTTGATTTTTTTTCTCTTTAATCACATTCTGTGTGCAGAATTTTGTATGTAAGCCAGCAACATAATGTAAATTGCTGTCTTGGTATAATAATAGAAAGAATTGCAGTATGTAAGCTGCAAATAGAAATTCAGTAACCAGCAAATGAATCCAAATGATATACTCATTTGAGATTTATAATGAATTTGTGAGAAAGTCTAAATTGCAATTGAGTTCTTGTATGGCTACAGTCATGGCTCTCTCTTGTTTCTGAAGTAGTGTATATATCCTATGGTACTTTTAGGTGGCGCACGTGTAAATAAAGTAAAATGATAGTGACACGGATCCCTGATGAAAAAATAAATAAGCTTCAATGAAAATTATACAATACAAATTGAGTTTCATCACGAATTTTCAGAAAGTAAAATATGCATAACTATTACATATGATAGAACTCATTTTTCATATTATGTACCTATGCCTCTAGTGGCGCCAAGTGGAACTTTTGAATTGGGGGGACGAGGAGCTCTATGGAAATCTAATAAAAGGTCACATTGAAAGGAATTGATATTTATCTACAACAATTATGACTCCTCATAAAGGTTGGGGTGGAGCTTACTCACATATGGAGATGGATGCAGGAGGGATCAAAAACCGCATTTAATCTTCCTGGTATTGTTTAATTAAACCATTATATATTATTAATCCTTCGGCTAGAAATTGTTTTCTACTAACTTCTTATCGAGATCGATTATAATTCCTGATCCGTAAAGGAACAGAGTGTCAGAGGAGCGTACTTCTAAAGGAGGATTAAATTGAACGCTTCTGGCATTTACCCAAATTGTATTATAATTATTCACTAAGCTAAAGTATGTTAAAAAAATGACCTTTATCCGCAAGCAGCTACTTTATCGTATCCTCAAAAAGTCTGAACGGCCTTTCGTACAATAACTCAAAAATGTTTGATGTTATATGATGATGTATGCAAAGCTCAAATTTGATATGCTCATCACATCAGATTAATGTGCGCATGCGTAGAATGCGCAATATCAACTGGCTTATTTATCGAGATATCTTTTGGAAATTTTAACCACAGATGCTTCTAGTAAAGGCAAACATATCGCATATTGCAAAAATAAGTTGCACGAATGTGTAGATTGCGCAATGCCAATTTATTTAAGCACTCGCCTTAGTTGTTTTTGTTTCTTTGATTATGTGCAGCAAATAGGTAGTAAAAGTATGTATCTGACAGTATCTGTGTGAAGGTGCGTAGGTGGGTTTCTTGAATCAGCAAAACGTCGACGTTGTGTTCGCGAGCGAACTCTCAAGCGTTTATTTACTCATTTTATATTTATTTATTTATTTAAGTCTTTATTTTTGAGTGGCCGGTGTTTCAGCCAAGGCTGCTCTACCAACCGAATAACCCACTATACATTTACAAATATCCTTGCCCGAATCCGGATTCGAACCACCGCGTAACTCGTATGGGGACGAGCCTGGGCGGTTTGAATGCCTGAGATGCGTCCCTTTGACGGGTTCGGTTACGATTGTGAAAGCGCTCCAGACGGTCTGGAAGGAAGACACAGACATTTTTTGCATCTGTTGTAATTGCTCTCCTCCGCAGTGTTTCTTCTCTTCGCTTGACGCACTCGGCGGTCTGCGACATCTGTCTTCTATGTAAGTAAGTGCATATATGTTATACCATTGAATAGTTATAAATTCAATGGTTATACCTGTTAAACACATATATATAAGAGTATATATATGGTTAAACAGCGTAGCGTTCTGACCGCGCGGCGGACCACGTTTAGCAGAATACAAATATCACGGGCCGCTGACCGCAGACCGCTCTCTGTGTGAACGATTCATGAACGTCGGCAATGTTATATGGTTCGGCGGGACGAGGTGACAAGTTAAATAAAAAAAAACCTACGAGTAATGTGTATATTTATTTTTTACTCGTAGAAAAAAACAAATAAAGGTTCTATATAGTCTTGGCTAGTTGGCTCAAAGCGAATATCCTCAGTAAGATTCTAAATTTATAAAAATGCAACATATTAACAACTACAGGCGTATAGCCAATTGATATCAAAATTAAACTAAAATTACTAAATGAAAAATGACAAATATTTATATAACAAAGGAACTCCTGATATGGGTATGAGATGTGAAAAGGGTCTTCCTTATTTTTTGGCCTACATTGCCAATTCACGAACGATCTACAAATTTGATAAAGAATCCACACACAAAATTCATCGTAATCGGTCCATTATCGATTTTGAAATATCGTGCTAACGGACAGACAGACGGAACGCAAAATTAAGAAGTCGACCCTATAGGAGCTAAGTTTGTTGTTTTCTATTAGGAAACCTAAGCTTAGCACGGGACAATGTTTTGAAAGTTTATATACGAAGAATCGCATAGGACTTTCAGTGGGGGAATTTTTTGACACTCAGCTCGCATTCAGAAACAAGGCTTTTAATCCGGTCTATATTTAATAGCACTGATCATTCGTAGAAATCGATTGACGAAGGTTTGACATCGTTGTCTCTTTTCGATATCGAGTTTATAGTTGAGGAACAGACGGACAGACCTAGGCGGATGAGAAATTCCCCTAAAATGCAAACCTTATTTGATTGACAAATGCAATATAAAGCACAGAGAAGTTGTTTTATTAGAGAGCTCTCCCAAGGTAATAATAATGCGTCGGCGTCGCTCCTTCAAACGCTGGCACTTGACTGCTACTGCAACGCAACTGCAGCAATCAATCCTGAATCCAAGTGCCAGAAATATTTATAAAGAAACGTGCCGGTGCGCGGTGCTTACGTGCATAAGTTCACATGTCTTCTCCCCACTACCTTACAAAATTGCAAATTATGCACGAGTAAAAATGCACAATGCGTACAGCCAGGGCATGACGCACGCTGTACAGGTAGCAAAACCATAAGGCGAAAACTACAGGCGCCACTTTTCCTTCGCATGAAAATAAAGTAAAAACAATCAGATTTCAAGGCTCATATTGTATTTCCGCAAGAGCGACGAACATTTTTCGTGCCACTGGTTGCTATTAAACGACTGACCTGTTCATCATATGACTCGAAATGCACGTGATTTTGTATTTACAGGGAGATTTCCTGGCAACGCTTTCAATAAACTTAGTGCTAAATGATCAAATGATGTTGTAAAGTGTTATGGCCTTATTTAACAGGCTATTCTCTTCTCGCAAGAAGAATTGCTATAAAGGTCAAGATGCAGTTTGGTATGTACCTATTCGTTTTGCGCGAATTTTTTATTCATTCATTTGTGTGTGTACTAGTGGACATAACCTATAATAGTAATTTCATTCATTAACGTATGCTGTTACAAATGCTAATTCTATTTATAATAAATACTTTGACGTGAGACAATTTCAAGTAAAATTAGAGTCTTAATTGATGTAAGTAATTTACGTTGCCTTGCGGATGACGCATTTTCACATGTCCCCTTTGACATTTTATCGTTTTTATTTCAAGAATCCTGTGCGTCTTCGGCCACCTTTCAAATATCTACCTATCTTTAGTTTTCTAATTTGTCAATTTAGTATGTAGTGGGATTACACTGGGTGCAGCGATCAATGCCGTTTGCAAAATAATTTCTATAAATGTTTAATTAATTACGTCCAAAAGTTGAAGCTGCGATGATGACACACTTTGCATTAATTTTTGATCTAGACAGCTACTACGTCGTATTCCCCGATATTATCCCTTATCGAATCACGTGCGTTATTATGTATTAAAGATGTCAAAATGTTTCCCTTCGCTTGTACGGGGTTTCGCGGACTACGTTTCGAATCCGAAAGCATCATCACGTCAAAATTAATCATCATTAAATCACTACTTTCCCGCTGAAAATGTCCGCTTCTCATTCGCCCTTATAGAAGCAAAAGCGTATATAAGGAAGAAATGACGTTTGAGATGACGCTCGGTTATGTCTAGATTACCACCCTGTTCAAACTACATAAAGTAGTGGCAAGTAAAAGTCGCCAAATTGGCGCACTTAGCACCTGGATCTTGAGGCGTCGATTCATTAATTATGGTAGAAATTGAAAGTAGGTTGATGCCTACCTACGTGAAAGTTCTTTTTATAGAGTGCATCTTTTTTCGATTTTTTCTTTCTTTCATTCATTATTTACTTGTATGATGTATGAAAGTCCGTTGGTTCGTTCGCCTGCAAGTTTCAGAAAATTTTTAAAAACGAAAATTTATATTTTGTGTCAAAACTTTAACCCTCGCTTTAACCACGCGACGTTTGCTCATCTCAAAAATTCCAAAATTTTACTGATCTAAGTGACACAAGGAATTAACCTCGGAATTAACTCTTGGTGGTCACACAACAAGACCTTCTCAACCAATTCATTGAGCAGAGAATTTCCTGTTGAGTTTCGCGTACGATCAGGGCGTTTTTTCAATACTCCCTTTTTGACATACTCACACGTCTCGTCCAGACGTTGCGTTTTCCCTTTGTAAGTATTCTCGTCTGACACTCAATTTTCGAGATATCATGAATTATAATCGATTTCAATAAGAGGTTGGAGCTCGGATTGGAGAGAAGAGCATTAGCATAGCATGAAGGATAGCACAAAAATTATATAGTGGGTTGGGTTGGTAGAGCAGCCTTGGCTGAAACCCCGCCCACTCAAAAATAAAGGCTAAATAAATAAATAAATAAATAAAAAATTATGCCCGTTTTACTTTTCAAAATACAATTCAAACGTCATTTGTTTTATTGGTTTGACGTTTAACGTAAATAAACATTAACTTGTAACTATGTACTTTCAAATTTCGGGGAAAATATAAATTGACAAAAAACTTGAGATTTAACATTTGTTTTATTGGTTTAACGTTCAACGTAAATAAACATTAACTTGTAACTACTTTCAAATTTCGGGGAAAATATAAATTGACAAAAAACCATATTTGATTAAAATGTAAAAATAATTAATTTTGCTGATATTGTTTTGTTCACATTCATATACTTAGTTCCTTTGAAAAGCGAATAAAAAACTTTGTAGTTTGTTTACATATAAAAATCCAATATGGCACCCATTTAAAGAAGAAAGTTGATATTAAAGCGGGAGTGAGTATCCGCCATTTTGAATTTCATGTGGACATCATTTTTGACTTTTTACTATTGAAGTGAGAAACTTTCATATTAAATTTGTTATACTTACATTGTTTTATAATGGGGGGTCTCTGAAACCATAGAAGATCCGACGATGGTCAAATTAGACAAAAAAATTCGCAAATTAAAGAGTTATTTATTATCATGCTTTAAAGAAAACCAGAAAATTCCGATTACTTCCGAAGATATTCTAGAAAAACCGAAATTTTCTAAACGAAATTTGAATCAACACACAAAACTGTAACTCTTCCATAATAACAAGCTCAATCTGGGCCCCGTTATTATTACAGTTATGACCTTGTGTTCTATAGGGCGATTTTGAAAGTGTTTGGTTTCTGGTTACCCTAGGGATTTCGGTTATGCGTAAACTTATCGAAAAGGTAAAAGTTTTTTACGTAAAATTCCTCGTCAAATTCAGTGGCGTCGGTGCCAATTTTCACAAAATAAATCTTTTTTGAAATAATGAAATTTATTTTTGAAAATAAATTATAATTAATTAGGTATATATAGGTGTATATATTTTGATAATCTCACTTGATAAAAATAATACGTATAAAAATTACAATTTTAGTTATTATTTTAAAAAATATTTAAAAAAACTAAGTACGCCATTGAAATTTACGTAAAAATCTAGATCAGTTATTATTATCACCTGTTTAATACGATGGCATAACCAAAATAGGAAGGAAGGTCAAAAACGAACAATTTTCAAAATCCAAATTAATATACTTAGTCATAACAAAATTGACATGGGATTTTTTGGTCAAAAACTAGGACAGGAATGTCAAAATAGCAAGTTCATATCTGTCAAATTCCTCTTCGGTTTATTTTATTTAATTGGGTTAATATTTAGGGTGGGCGACTAGAAAAAATTTTGTCTGCACAGATATTTTAAAAAAATGGTTGCTGCGCTATGTGTTTAAAAAAAGGACTTGATCAAGTGATTAAAAATTGGACCTTCTTGAACGAAAATTTATGCCATATTAGATATTGGTGTGAAGATTATCCCTGAAAATTATACAGTGAGCGGTTAAAATATGGAACAAATTCATTTAAAAATGAAAAGGGGGGTATCGAGAACCCAATTTGCTTAAGCCAGAATATTCAGCAGAAACATTCGAAAATGCGCTAAAAGGATTTTATCAAATTTTTTTCCGAAGTAATGACTGAATAGATACTGTAGCACACACTACATTGATCAACGGAAAACCTTTATATTGACCTTATTTCAAAGGTATAGAATTAGCAGTTGATCCAAAGATTTTTATTCTGATCATTTTTTTTTTAAAACCGTTATCCACAGAACGTAGGTTTCCTGTTTTCATTATCTGTTTCTCCGTGTAGAGATCCTCAATTTTAGGAAAGAACGTTTTACTAACATTTAAAAGGACGTTGTTGAAAGCCTAATCAAACACATAAGCTCGCTTATGCTTTTAGTGTCGAGGACAAATTTAAGTAATTTTTCAATCTAAAATATTGATCTTTTGGCACATTTCCAATGGTGAAATATTTAATATTTTTTTCGAGATTTGTTTTTAATTATAACCGTCGGTCATTTTCAAATTTCTGGAAATTATGCATTAAGTGCATGTAAATAGAACGTCTAATTTTAATCATATTTTGTTTATATGCTTAATTATGTATTGTGTTGCAAGTGCAATGTTCATTAAAAAAAAATCGTGAATGTTCGCGGATATCATAAATTGGTGGGGCGAGGTATTGTCCTATCTAAATCACGTGCTTAGTATTTTTAGATTTCGCGTAGTTGTAACGCTATACTTACTCGATTATATCAGCGGTTCCACACATTTTTTTCAGGAGCTGCATTGAGTATCAGTCGTATTTCCAATTGATAATTTTTTTTTAGCGAGAACCTGTTTATTTTAACCAAGAAACAAGTAAGAGTGCTACTGTTCAGAGAATGCGACTTCAGAGGCCGTAAACTGTTATTCGATTCAGAGTCCGTGCAGAAAATCGATCTTGCTGACAAAGGAGACTTGCGGGATAATTCAACCACTAATAAGTGTAATGATAAATTTGAGGAAGTTTCAAATGGATATGGTTATCAAGTATGAACAATTTGATTGCATTGTTATTTAAATGACCCAATATGATTGCAGTACATTAAACCTTGCTGTGATATCGGCCATTTGGGAGAAATGGTATTTGGGGCCGTTGCTATGAGTTATAGGGGCACTTCATTGAAAATCCACAGTTTGAAATCGCCATCGCGGCTCATGTGCTCGCAGGTAAGCTCCGGACATACCAATTTGAGGTAATTGATGTGTTCTTTTTTTTTAGATCTTTCCGAGTCCACGCCATGTCTCGAGGAGGTGTCATTCTACGTCTAGTCAAAGCTGTGCGCGTAGCTCGGTTGCGTCATGCCAAAGTTTAGAACAATCTGTTAGGTTAGATAATTCGGGTCCAAGTAGTAATACGTCTACAAGTGATCGACTTTCGCTCCATAGCAATGGTTCGGATGCACTTTTAGGTAATATTGTAAATGTGCTTTGCTTTGCTACATTTGCCACCTTAAGAAACTTGCATCTCTTTTAGACAGTGAAAGTCTCTGCCTTTCTTAGTTGACCTTAAGACTTTAAACTTTAGTTAAGCGATACATTGCTTATTTACTAATGATGAATTAAGAAATGCTCGCTGTGGCGTGTCTATTGGAAAGGAGTGTTTTGAATTATCGAATTTACGTCGAAAGTAAAAGAGGGTATTCGGCAATATATAGTATGGTCATTTTGCAGTTAATTACTTGTTTTTGTAAAAATAGGAAAAGTCACTTTGGTGTAGCTGTTGATTTATGAGCGTATTTCGAATTCGCGCGATGCTTGTGGAAGTGATGTATATGAACGTAGTATCTCGCGTCGTCATTTGCTCCTTCTGGACAAGGGCTAAGGCCTTATCCAGGTCGATTGAATTCGCCGCTAATCGTCTAGCACGAATTTGAAGTAATACGCGCGAGATAATAATAATAATAATAATAGCGTTTATTCCCCATAGGTCTCATGTGAAAATTTGCGAAAGCAGAACAGATTTTTTAAAAATTTGCTAAAGTGGTGGCAACGTTTAGGTAATAGACGAAAATATGTGAAAAAGAAGAAAATCACTTGACCGGTTTTCCACCGTGAAACCCCCGCTTTCGTGTTGTGACAAAAATTCGATAAGAAAAAACCGGGAAGAGGCACAAGAACGCTGTCGCGGCTATAGGCAGCAGGTCGGACGGTGTGCACTTCTCGAATTTTTTGATACAGTGCGGTTGCTCCTGCCGGCAGGAAGAGGGTGGCAAGTGCGCGCGCGGTGTCGTTTTTCAGTAAACCTGCAAGTTTCGTAGTGGGCGGGAGCGGGGAGGTACGGAAGACATGTGATGCGAAGAAGAGCGTGTGGGTATTTTTGGAGTAAAAATTTACTTTTCGCGGGTTAAACGGATTTCCCCTAGGGACAAATAGAAAATAGGTCTGAGGGACTGCGGCGGTACCGACCCGAACGTGGGATGGGCGGCGGTTTCGAACGCGCAGGATGCTGAGGGCGTATCTGTCCGTCCGTCCCTGACACAACAATGTTTGGACTGTCTGGACGCCGTAATTCGGGACAGGAGACATATCGAGTTGCGGTTTTTTTGCGTTAAGTTTGCCCTTCGATGGCGTTTCCGGGGTAACAGAGGACGAGAAGGTGCATTATTTTTGTTATCTGTACGAAATGAAAATTCCGCCTTCAGCCGATTGCGCAATAAATACGCAAGTGAATGAATAGTTGAAGACTGGGTAATCTTAGTCACGAAAGCTTGTAGAACGTTCTGAGAAATGTTTAAACAAAAGATGCAATCTATGTAGAAAAATGTAAACAAGTGAACAGGTTTTCGCCCTAAGACCCATTGTCCATGCATTGATCAGTACTTCCTAAAAGCCCATACCTATGTCGGCTATGTTTTCATTTTCTAGAAGCATCAATGGTTAAGACCTCAAAGAAATGTCTCCATAAATAAGAAAGTTGGTATTGAGCAATCTGCTCATGCGCACATCTCATTTTTACAATATGCGATGTTTGCTCAAGTGCCAGAGCGTTACCGAATACAAAAAGAATGAACTAAATATATTGAAAATTGTAGGAGTAGGCCTCAGACGGACAGACAGAGAAAGTGTTTTCAAATTTCATAAACATTAAGTTAAGCCATTTTAGTCATTTTTTTAGAATAATGCTAATCCAGAAGCATTTTTTGTCAAATTTTGTTAAAAAACTTTTGTGACACACCAAATATATTTTAACATATTCATAAATTATCAACTTCAGGAATGGCTTTCAGCTTTCAGATTAAGTGATGCAGGAATAACACGATAGTACGAATGTACCTAATGCTGAAAACCTGATCGATTTATAAGAGGCGCCCGAACAGCTGACATTTAGTGAAACAACAAGCTCTTTTTTGAGAGTCAAAAATGCGCTAAAAACTCTGAAATGTCCAAAATTCATTATAAAGACAAATAGCTATGCCTTACCATGCTTTGAACCAAAAAAACTTGTCGTTACTAACTTAATCGCTAATTTCCGTTTCAGTATGTAGAGGACCTCGGAGCATACCACTAGATGTACCTTTGTCGAGTTCGACGACGAACTGTAACAATCTTACACCAAGTGTAGTGGGAGATTCCGGGTTTAGTGGCGAACAGTCGTGTAATAGTATAGGTAGCGTTCCTCTATCATTCCCTCTTCACGAAGGTAAATTTCCCGTGTATCTTTACATCCAGTCTGACTCTCTGTGTTAAGGTGAACAGGTTTCGTTTTCATGTGGCAGCTTGTACAAGAAATGGTTGCGCAGTACCAGTACTTCGTTAGAACATTCATCGACATCATTAGCGGGATCGGGATCGACAGACGAATGTATTTTAAAATCTCACGGGCGTAGAAGTAAATTGGGTTTAGCAATTATTATCGAATTACCTGCGGGACAAGAACAGTATGTATCTTTGTCTTTTTAGAATGGAATTAGCATAACTTCCTGCAGGTATATGGAATTATTTCTAATGGAACACGCATCTCTAATAGAATCTATGGTTTGGAAAGCCAGGCAGAGTGTCGAAGTTGCCTACAGTCGCCATGGCAGTTTTGTCTCTCTAATGTTTGAGGTTGCAATGAATATAACCCAATGGCTGATAGATATGATTTCTGGGCCTCTACTTTCCAACCATCTGTGGATCTCTCTCGCTCCAATCTGTGATAATTTATTCAGTATTAAACATAGTGATAGCATTAAGCAGAAGTATAGTAACAATAACTATACTCATGATTCGTACTATTATAGTGATAGAGAGGTGTGCTTGACAATGTCGTTAAACGTTTTGAAAGACAAATGTGCCAACGGAAGTGTAGAACACAAACTCACAAAGCAGCATTCGAGTGCATCTCTCAGCAGTAGTTTTAAATATGACAATTGTATTTTTGATACACCACAAACTACAAGTAAAAGTGCCGATTTTACGTTTTTAAACTTAACTAGGTTTTTACGTAATGAATTTAGCAGTGTGGGCGTTAAGAATGGTTACGCATATGATGACAAAAATTTTATGGCTGAAAAGTATGTTACCGAATTGTGTGAGCTTTTGGACTGCATCGACATCAAACATACAAACTTGTAAGTATCTGTACACTGTCTTACGGTAGAAACAAGGGTAGAAAAAGGTATCTTACTTAGGGTAATTTCCATTCGTAAATTGAGACATATATGTAAACTCCCAAGGTTTATTCTATCATAGCAGTTTTATGTTGGGACTCCCAATTTTATAAAAAAAATCTGCCAAATGGGCATAGCAATAAATTCTATCTATGACAATTATCAGCAAATGGGGTAGGTAATCCTTTCTGATCATAAGAACGCGAAAGTGGTAGCCCTCTATGCCCCTTTCTTAGAAACGATGCCTTAGGCTCTGATCGTTCATATCTAGGGGAGGCAAACCCAAGGGCTTCCATGCTGACTATGTGAATTGTCTGTATAGTGCATACAAACTACCACTCTAATTTAAATATAGTGTTACAATAGCAAAGATTGCAGATCTGGACCACTAGACATTTTCATCATGTTTGGAGGCAGGTTCGCTTCAAATTGGATGGGTTTTCCTCAGTTCAGTGTTTTACTGGTATTTTATCAGTTATCATATTTTCTTTTCCTGAAATTTGAATCGCTGATCTATCTATTCAAAACAAACAAAAGCAGGATTGCTCCTTGCTCATTTCCAGTGTTTCAGTTGGTCTTAGTGGAATGCCCCTGCAACTTCCCCCACTACCTTTTTTTTCTATATCATCATCCAAGTGACTAATTGTTTAGAATTTGCAATAATAATTGTATAAGTGTATTCAAATGTTGTTGTGCTATGCCGATCATGGCGCTGTTGTACTCTACCATGGTTTTCATTTTATTATTTTGACAATTTATTCAAAATTATAGTGAAAGAATACTTAGAAGATTCACATCTGGATAATTCCTCCTGCGGAACGACTTACTGTAGTAGAAGTCCATGCTGCATTCTAGGACTATGGGTTTCTCAATTGGTGTCTCAAGACTGAAAACCTATCGGTAATATGAAAAAGTGAAGGCCATTTTGGAATCGGTGCCGATCTAGTAGATCTAGTCTAATAGAAGTATTCCTATCTGTTCCAAAGTTTTTGAGCTATCATTTGTGGTGTAATGGCATCTATTTGGCAACTATCGTTTTGAGCATGCGCATTTGAAATTTTTGAATAATCTTTGGAAAATAACCGAGATATCACCGAAAAACTAAAAATGTCCAATTTTTGTTCATTTTCCCTAGTATAAACGGTCCGAAATTAACGGTTCCCGTTAGCACCTTTTATGGGCATTTTTTTTGGAGAATCGAAGCTGTTATCAGAATTTGCATAACACGCTAGATGTAAAAGCTACAGGCTACTACTTTCTTATTTCTTACAGACGCCATATTGGATTTTTATGGAATGAGATATAGGACACAAAAAGAAGTTTATTTGAATTCATGGCCATGATAGCCATGTTGATTCAGCAAGATCTAGTTACCTGTGAATGTTTTGTTGAGAAATGAATGTAAAACATTTGATTTTGGAATTTTTCTTGTAAATTTATGGAAAAGTACCTATAGAGTATGACATGTCATTATTTTTCCTTTTTTTGCCCTTTATTTCATTTTGTAAAAATCTAATACGGAGTAAAATGAGTATGTTCGTATATCGGCTTAACGCTTATATTAATACTATAATACCACATATGAGGGTGCGCATCTAGTTGTACGTAGCTTCTACATCTAACGTGTTTTGGAAATTCTGATAACAGATGCAGATTTTCCAGAAAAAAGTGCTATCGGGAACCGTCCATTTCAGTGGCCAAGGAACATTGCCAAAATATGAAATAATCTGTCCACAAAATATGTGTCAAAGAACTGTCGTTAAATTGTTCAAGTTGTGAACTGTGCCATTATCATCATCCAATCTCAAATGACGTTGAAAGTCGTACCATAGAGGCTAGCGCCTTGTGTAGCTTTAGAGAAGAAATACCTACCTCACTTTTCCCCCACGACCACACACAATCATTTCAATAATTTGGACAAAAAAGGTTGTGATAAATCAATGTAAAAAATGGACATTGAGATATACAGGGTCATTCTTGACGAGCGTCAGTTAGAAAGATATGGAAAACCTTTGAAAATGAAAATAAACTGATAAGTTCTTTAAGGGTTTTGGCACATGATGAATTGAACTAAAATATTTTCAAGATGGCACCACTTCCGGAAATACTGGAAGTAGCCATCAACTTTGTTATTTTAAATAGGGGCCCCCTATTTTTTCGGATTCTACGTCAAATTTGGAGAACAACGATACCCCATAGTTGACCATTTGCTCCAAGGGCTTCGTCGATATTCAAGTTTTTATTTAAAAAATTGAATTTGCAGGGGTCATTTTAAAAATTTATTATTCGAAAACAACGGTGAAGAACATAATAGGGAGTGCCATTTAAAAAAATAGAGTTACCGAAATTTAAAAATTTAAAAGTTGAGAGCTTTGAAAAAGTGACGTAGTCTCACTTTTTTAGACGATTTCGTATACCATAAAAAAATTCGATCTTTTCTTAATAAAGCATTTAAAACTGTTTTGCAATATCTCTCACCGTTTTTGAATAATAAATTTTTAAAAGACCCCTGCAAATTCAATTTTTTAAATAAAAACTTGAATATCGACGAAACCCTTGGAGCAAATGGTCAACTATGGGGTATCGTTGTTCTCCAAATTCGACGTAGAATCCGAAAATGTAGAAAAAAATAGGGGGCCCCTATTTAAAATAACAAAGTTGATGGCTACTTCCGGTATTTCCGGAAGTGGCGCCATCTTGAAAATATTTTAGTTCAATTCATCATGTGCCAAGACCTTTAAAGAACTTATCAGTTTATTTTCATTTTCAAAGGTTTTCCATATCTTTCTAACAGACGCTCGTCAAGAATGACCCTGTATAGGGTTTTGCATTAAAAAAATCCCAACATTGGGTAAAATCTCAGAAACAGTGATCCAAACATTTTTTTACTATGCCACTGGACTCTACGTAAGAATATGTATAATAAGCAGTTTTTACCTTTTTTCTATCTTACATGGGTAGTAAGATAATGATAACATCCCAAAAAGTCAAACTTTTTGTGGCATAAAAAGTTTCAACCAAAATAGGACGCACTGTACATGTATACCAGGTGTCCAATATAAAAATGAACAGCACAAGGATTTCGGATACTGTCAAAGTTTGATATCCGTATTGTATTATAATTTCGGAACGTCATCTTGCAGAACTATAAAAGGTCCAATGAGAAAGTGTCATTGTTTCTCTTGAAGTTACCTAAAAAAAAATAACGAAATCACGATATTTCGTATTTTCGAATATCTCTGGAAATAACATATTTTCTAACTGTCTAAATGACATTTTATTGACCCCTTAATTCTGAACCTTTTTTTGCCATTAACCCAGATTTGTTAGTTTTACACTCGGTTTTACGGTTTCCAAGATCGCCATGATGTTCTTTTTCATCTTGGACACATGGTATATGAGTACCTTTCTATAATATCTCTATTTCTCAGGCAGGAACATTGATCCAAAAAGTTACAATATCAATGGGCGCATTCAGCCGAATTCAGCGCTTACACAGCTGTTCCCAGCGCCAAATTTCAGCCGATTAACTATGGTGAAATGAGGTTGTAAATTAACTGTCACGGTACATGCGCGCTTTTACTCTCACCTTCGCTGGTTATCCTAGCGGAAAGTATTTTCGCTGGAAAAAATGGCGGACGCTGTTAAGCGCCAAACGACCGCTACCTTGGCGCTGCGACAGTAACAACCTGGCGGCCAAATATTACCTCGGAAAATTCCGCTTCCTGCTGCTAGCTGCGATGATCAGAGCTTAATCAATTCATCTACCACAATGGCGGATTGTCCCTAAATATGGTGCTGTCTAAATTTTCTATTGGTTAGTGTCTTTTTCTGTACCAATCCGGAACGGCTGTTAATTATTTCAAAAACAAAGGGATCATTATTTTTCATCAGCTTTACCTCATGATGAGGTAAGGCTATAATACTATATCTCTTTTAAAACGAATGTGATCCTATTCCTACGCTCGCTATCTAGACGCCAAAAACAATTAGGTAAAGACCAAAAAGGCTTGGAAAGCATGGAAATGGTTCACACTGGTATGAATAACTTTTGCCTTGTAGGCTCAGTTCAAAAGATATTAAAGTCTGGACATGCCAAAATGATGGCTAAAAGGAGATATGAATCCGAAACCACTCATGCACACTTGTAAGCGAATCCCAACACTGATTCAGATTTAAATTTCAATTTATTAATAAGAAGTGTTACCTGGGGTCCTAGAATTAAGTGGAACTATGAGTTTGTAAATATAGCAATCTCTTTAACGCCTCTATTTTTTTTCAGCTTCATTAGTACATTGATCACTGCAGTATTAACTCATCATTTGGGATGGGTGAACACTGTTTTACCGCCATCTTTAAAGGACACAGAAAAGTTATCAAAATTGCACAATCCATGTAATCCGCTGTGGGGCCAGCTTACCGATTTATATGGCGCTATTGGACATCCCACGAAAGTCTCTCATACGATCATTACTGGAACAAACAAATCTGACTTAATCTCGAAAATTTTAAATTCGCTAACCTATTTCATACGGTGTAATGATATAAATCGGAGGTGCTTAACACGATTAGATATTAAAGAAGACAACAAAATGGTAGATTGCATTTGCCAGCAGAATTCTTACATTCCAAAAGAAAATTACAAAAAGTACGAGGATCACTTGAGAGAAATGGACATTGCTCACAATGATACTTTATGTTCAAAAAAAGCACACTCACTAAATTCAAAAGGTGACGCTTCTGAAGGAATAGAACTGCAAAATATAAATCCAAGCATCAAACTCTTGGAATATTCGAATTCCATATCTGAAACAGCAAATGTCGACTTAGATCCGAAACCCCCAAAACAAAATGGTTTAATTAAAAGAACGACTCGCCTTACAGATCTATATAAAATGGAACCTGAGAAAACTCAGCGACTTTATCCTTGTCTAGAGGAGCTACACCAATCAGAAGGTGTAACGCCAATTACATGCGAACCGGCGAGCCCTCACGCGCTCTTGGACAAAGTGAAAAGTTTAGGAATACAGGCGGTTGATTCGATACCTTTAGATAAGGAGAAAGAATTTCAATTGACTAACGCGATTATCAATGAAAAGGTAAGGAAATTATGTCGAGTACCTGCCAGCGCTTTATTATACCACACGGAGGCGTCGAATGATCGACTTGTTGATATTCATGAGGCAAGTATTCAGGTGCGCAAAGCATTTGCGCCTAAGATTGTAAACATGGAAAAACAAATGAAATGTGCGCCTAGTTCTGTATGTGAGGAAGAAGACTGTAATAAGAAAAATGTAATATTTGTACTCGGGGACAATGAAGAGCTTGTTGGTTTAAGGAAGGATAGTGAACCTTTCTCAACTGTTACTTGTGAAGATTATGTAGAGCAGAAGAATTATGAGGCATATTGCAATGCAGAGTTTAGGGTTGAAGATGTGAAACCATCCACGTCTTGGAACTCGGAGAAGGTGATTAGTCATTCATCGACAGAGTGCGGGACATTGGAAAAAGAATGTGAATTGGGATCTCAAAAAGAATTTTGCCGTTCTCAGAGTGTTCCCCCTGAAGGCAACAAAAGAGAACTGAATAATGAGAGTGCAAAAGACAAGTCGAAGTATAGATATTCCGGTGTGAAATTTAACATTCAGCAGTATCCTCAAATTGTCACCAACTACATGCGAAGCAAGAATTTGGAATTATCTCAGATACAGTTCTCCGAAAAGGCGTTGAAATTCAATAATCCGCATTATCCGGAATTCGATTTCAGCAGTTGCAGCAATCAGGTGGAGGAAATTGAGATACTTCAAACGCCTTCGAACGCGTCCGAATTGGAATTTACCAGCGATTTGGTGGTGGATAACTGCGACGTGCAGCACGCGAAAGAGGTGCTCGAGTGGAGGGAGAAAACATTTGTTAGAAATCACGTTCCTAATACGATAATTAAAGAACCTCAGTTCAATTATTGTCCGAAAACTGAAGTGACTGAACATCCGTTACAGAAGACTGACAATACGAATAACGCCATGTTTGAGTATGAGGAGTCTAATGCTTCGGAAAAGTTTGGTTTGGATCAGCAGTACAAGTTGAACCAGATGCAGGTGCTGGAATTGCCTATGCCTAAGTAAGTCTAATCAATCATTGATGCCATTCACGCTTGTATCACCCTTACTAGCAGCTAATTTCATTTTGTAAATATCAAACCAATTAATCAGACCCATACATGACAACCACAACATATCGAGTTGAAGATAAATAGATAGATATAATTCTTAGTCGAAAAAATCGGTGCAACTTACACCATTCAACATTTTACATTTGGATTTAATCAGTAAAACTGTTTTTAGATCAGAGCCAGTGAAATTAGATCACGTGCCAATAAATTATACAAGCTCATTAATGAGAGGTATGGGAGATCGGTACATATCCAACATGGTTCTTCAAGGTACGTCAGCACCAAAAGCAGAATGGGAATCTTCGTTACGAAAAGATCTCTCAATAGCGGCCAGATGTCCACTTCTAGATCAACCTGTCGACGAAGCTATAGCTATTGTTGCAAACACAGACACTTGGTAAATTGACTCACACATTGTTAGCAAAAGCTATAGAATGGTTTTAGGGAGGTTCAATTGCTGTCTAGTCACACTTATGTAGTGGATAGGGGATCATCTGGTGTGAGAGTGGGAATGTCGCAGCTGGTCGCCAATATGCTAGAAACATTACTTCAGATGTGGAAGTTGCGTACCCCACCCCAATATGTAAGGATGACACTAACAGAAACGGAAATTAACACTTTTGTTGTAGTGTGTCATGCATATCGAGCAAAAATTACAAGAATTTTGTGTATTGTCGCAGTCGCTTACCGAGTTACTTTTAGCAACTGAGTTTTGCAGTATGGATTTACTTACTTCCGTATTACAATTGGAAATTAACGACGTACCGTTATTAATGGCGGTCGCTTCGACTCATTCACCTCAACTTACCCAAAAATACGGACTGAGTTTCCAATGACATCCTCTTATGGAGATCGGCACAAATAACATACCAAATTATTTTATTGTAAATAGTTTGTTAACTAATGTCGCTGTATTATTATTCTTATTTATAAACTATATAAGATATTTTTTATAAAACAAGGGATACAGTTCAAAACTGCAGAAAAATAAAGGGTGATATTTTTTACATTAATTTTAAATCGTACCCATGTTTATACTCCAAATGAGCATTGTTAACAAACCAAACTCAATCCAGGGATACAATTTACTACAAAAACACTACAATTAATATCCTACAGCAAAAGAATAAACTGCAGTTAATGGCTGATTGTTATTGTACAGTTTCCAATTCTCTTTAAAATGTTCTGCAATTTGATTTGCTTTACTTATGGTAGCCACATGAGGTGTAATCAGCACCTAAGAATACAAATACAGAAATTTCAATCGGGAATATTCTCCGCTTACCTGCTTCATCGTCCATAAAGGACTCTCCGTTGGCAACGGCTCTTTGTTGAAAACATCCAATGCAGCATGGGACAACCAACCTTTCTCTAACGCATTCACTAAATCACTCTCGTCAATTATTGATCCCCGGCCAACATTTACTAAGATGGCTTTTCGAGCTGAAATGCAATGTTAGGTTCCAATCGCCAAACTGTTGTCAAACAAACCTGCACAGTCTTGTAGCACTGATCCATTTAAAAGTCCTTTTGTTTCAGGGGTCGATGGTAGGGTATTAATAATGTAATCACAGTTTTGTAGGAAGTTGCTGAGTTGAGATGTTGTGTAGTAGCAATTAGGTGAAATGAAATCCATCTTCGGATCTAAAGCAGGTTTCCGGCTGTATGCGAGAATTTTGGCACCCAGTGTAGAAAAACATCTCCCGACTGCAATGAGTATCTAATTTAAGAATGTGCTGCATACTAACATCTACCTATACAGAGTGGCGGAAAAGTATGGAATCAGCGAGCTACAGCCTTAACCATTCGTTATATTGAAAAAAGTGTGAGATGAAAGTTGTTTGATATAATATATTATGCATGTTTTGACGTACACGGATATTTTTTCGAATGACGTCATTGAGCATATTTTTTAAATTGAATACCCTGTATTTTTTAGTTTTTTTATGATCCTCTAGTCAGACGAGGTGCTTCAAAATGGTATAGGGTTTTAACACTCTGAAGTTCTCAGATTTCAAGATATTTTAGTTTTAATATGTAATTAAATCAAAACATTGAGAAATGCGTATGTATTTCATATTTCATCCGATCTCCATTCCCAACAATCATTAAAATTGTTATTCGCTCTTTCTCGGATAAATTAACATTTTACTAAAACTGACACTTCAGACGTTATTGAGTAATTTTTGATGAGCCATAATTATTGATATAAAAATTCAATGTATAATAATTGTTTTAAGTATACTTACTGTATCCACCAATAAGTCCTAATCCCATTACACCAATGGAGAGATCTGAGAATGTTCTATAATTATTAATTTTCCCTTCTTTTAACCATATTCTCTCTTTTTGATTTGCGAAAATCTGAATCATATTTCTCTCAATAATGGTTATTTGAGTGATGACATATTCAGCCATCATTTGCCCAAACCCCTGATTAGAAAATCTTGTTAAGATGAATGGTAGGGGCCTATTGATGACAGGGGTAAGGTGATCTAATCCTGCCCATGTACCTTGCATCCACTTCAAATTTGGCAAATTGTATATGTGGGGCACCATTAGGTTGTAATCTGCAATAAGTACCTCTGCTTTCTTTAATTCCAAATCTAAAATTTCAATACAATTGTTAAGTAAGACTATTTTAACTACAAATAGAGGCAAATACGATTATAGGTTTATAAGTGGATAGATACCTACAAGTATTGCGCCATCTAGTTATCAACATAAATTACTAATTGAATGATTTCACCTGTTCCTATATCTACTTGGACATGCAAGTCACAAAATTTTACATACCTGATTCTACGTTAATGAATTTCACCATAGGTAAACTTAATTTTAATTCTTCTACTAAATTAGGAATTCTTGAGAAAACGTAAACCACATTTAAACCAGCCATCGCTTAATTAAATATGACAAAATTCGGTAGCTATTGAATGTGAATAAATAAAGTACTGCTTTAAATTTTTCACATTATTCACCACATGTTTCTTATCACAGTTGAGAATATCATTAGATAAAATGTGTTTTCTTAATCTCCTAAAATTGGGAAGCCAACGGGTTAGTAGAACACTTGTAGGTTAGATAGAAAAATCGTGTATCTCTTAATTATTAAGGTTGAAAATCGTATATAATTTGTATGGATATAAATAGATATATTTTAAACTGACCCATGATATCAGTATAAAGGTGCTTGGTGTTCTGCATTAATTTAAATAGCTGTATTTAGCAACAAATAATAGATTTTTAGCGTATTTTCCTCAAAGTGAAAAATCGCTATTTGTCAAAAATTTGGTTTAACGCATGTGCGATGCTAACGTTTTTATTTATGAAGATATTTAAATGAAACTTTATATCATGTGGTAAATGGAGTTCCGAATAGCGGCTTGTGTGAAACCATCAACATCACTGACGGGTTACATTGCCTTGTTTTTTAGAGGTTTGCCTGATTTAGAACTTTGTGAAATAGAAGTCACTGTTCGCAGACTAATATTTAATGCATCCGCAACTCTCTGTGAAATGAAACTTGTTACGTACACGAATTCTTATATTATGAAAGACACCATGCAGTCACCTCTCACTGCTGCAACTGGTAAAAGTGAACCACCATTATCTCTTTCTCGTTCAAAATTCAAAATAACGAATAAGATTAAAAATAAGTTGCTTACCTTTTCTTGGTAAACCCGATGGCATTTTTGAGTTATACAACTTTTAGCGCAAAATATCTGCGGAAGTTATGCTTCTATAATTAACATTTTATTCAGATGAAGCATGTGTTAGGTGCATTCTTATATTATGAAAGACACCATGCAGTCACCTCTCACTGCTGCAACTGGTAAAAGTGAACCACCATTATCTCTTTCTCGTTCAAAATTCAAAATAACGAATAAGATTAAAAATAAGTTGCTTACCTTTTCTTGGTAAACCCGATGGCATTTTTGAGTTATACAACTTTTAGCGCAAAATATCTGCGGAAGTTATGCTTCTATAATTAACATTTTATTCAGATGAAGCATGTGTTAGGTGCATTTGTCAGGCTATGCGAATAACCAAAACATCAGAAAATTCGCACATTTTTATTGAAACACCTCTACATCCCCAAACAGTTGGCATTTGGGTAGTTATATGTCAAGAAGGAGGATAATTGGACCGATTTTTTTTATGAAACTGTAAACGGGGAGCGATATAGTGAAATTCTGCATCAAGTTGTTGAAGAAAGTCGCAATGGCACACAGGTTTGTGGCTTCTAAACAGGCCTGACCTCGCATCACTGGTCATTTGGGCGAATTAAAAGCAATATATCTAAAATTTGACTACACCAAAGAGTAGGTATATAACGTTATATACGCTTTGACTACCCACACTTTGAAGAATTGAAAGGGGCGTGATCACTATAAAAACTTTTTTTTTAATGGGGGCAAGGAATGCGGGTTATCACCTGTGCCTCTTTAGTTGCCTAACCATCTGCAATCGCATGGGGATCAATGATGTGATGAATGAAACCTTTGAATATTTATATTCAGAGATGAAACGAAATATGAATATTTCTATGGGCATTTGAATTTATAAAATAGCATTGAATATAAGGTGCTTATTCAATGGCTACAGTTTAAAAAAATACATTGAACAATCTTCTCAGGCGCAATAAGGGTGTAGTTCCTGCATATACATACTATCATATTATGATACTATACATCTTTCTCTTCTCTAAGCTACATATACATATATACCAGACCTACAAGGTGAACATAACTCGATTTCTTTGTGAACGCGCTAAGTGACCCCCAATTGCACATTACTAAAATTCCAACAAAATTAGATTCTGAAAGTTAGACAGACTTTAGTTTTTAAAAGAATTGTTAATTATTTAGGTAATTAGACAACAAATAAGGCTCATTCTTTTCAATCATTACCAAATAACACCCTTCATTGCTTTTAATTATTTTGCGGGACGTGCCATGCGATAGTTTAGTCGCCTATACAGCACGTCTCCTCCCAAAGAAAAAGTTTATGTCACAAATACCACAGACTAAAATTAGTTCATGCCAATACTTTTTTTTAGAATCATGAAAAAAAATGAGTGAAAGACATACAGTTGCAGTAGAGGATTTAAATGCATCAAAAATGTTCTTAATCATCCATTTAGTAACCATCAATCTTTGAGACCTAATTGGCTAAAAAACTGCTAATCCAGATATGGTCCAAAAATATAAGGTAAGTACATCTGATCCACTTTTCTACAAGTATATCTAGACCGTAGGAGCCTTAAAGAACATGATGTCTGTACTGCATTTGCTGTTGTATACCAAAGAGTGTCATATATAAATACTTTATTGTAATATAAAAATACTGTACAAAAACATATACCTATTTATTCATATCAATTACAATCTTACCTCTCACATGACCCTGATTTAAGGCTTCATAAGCGTTTGGAAGTTCCATAAATGGAAAAACCTTATAAATAATGGGCGTAACCTGCAGAAAATTGTAATAATCCTTTCTGCAACACTAAAACAATACAATAATCACCTGATTGTTCTGAAGAAGATCACTAATGAATTGAAGTCCCTTTTCTGAAGGATAAAAAAATGCCCATCTTACAGATTGTTCAGATGGGCATTTTTTCAAATTAGCACCAAGTAAGTCACAGGCGGATGTAATTAAACCATAAACTAAACCATGGTTATCTGTATTTACCATAAGAGGAGAATTTAATGTTATATAACGGTCATATTTCCAAGAGTTTGGGATATTTTTATAACCAACTTTGGCACAATCTAGGATTATGTCGAACCTAAAATTTGAATGAATATCTACATTTATTGAAAAATTAATTCTTACTTCGGTTCAGAGCTTATAGATGTATTAAAATCAGGCTTGGTGTAATCAAACACACCATCGATTCCTAATGATTGTACTAGTGGAATAGCGTCAGATGAACACGTACCCATGACCTATTCTCATCATTATGCATTTAAGTGATGAAATAATTAACTTACAGTAGCACGTTGAGACTTTAACATTTGTACAGCAACAGTACCAACACCACCGGAGACACCCAATATAAGTATTCTAGCAGATTCCGGTTTCCGCAAAGCCAGTTCGCCGGTCACGTAAAGTGCAGACCACGCAGTCATGGCGGCATATAACGGAGATGTAGCCTCAACAGCAGTCAAATGTTTGGGTTGATGGAAAATCTATCAGTTAGCAAATTCTGAAAACCGCAATTGAAGTTTTTGTTTCCTTACATTGGACTCGTTTGCAATAACATGTTCAGCGTGGGATCCTTGTTTGTGCACCGCAATTACACCGCACACGTTATCACCGATGTTAAATTTGTTGCTAACATTGTGACCTTTGTCCACAACGGTACCACAAAAGTCCCTTCCTAATGTTAATGGAAATTCCAAGTCATGCTCACGCATTAAGTTAATGAGAGTTTTACCGTATCCCTCTGAAACGGGAGTTAAAATGCCATTACAAGTGGGCACGACTTACTAGTCATTACAACATCGATAGGGTTCACTGATGCAGCATTCACTTTTATTAGCAAGTCCTCTGGATTTTCTATAAGTGGAATTCTCGCATTAGTCAGTTGCAAGTCTTGTATGTCCCCATAGCAGTGAATTTGCCACGCCTTCATTTTTGTTGCTGTAGAATACTGCGAGAATTTGGATAGTTTCCAGCGGTGTACGGTTTTAAAAATGTTCATTTTTATTGTAGGACTGGAAACAATAAATCAAGTAGGTTATGTTTTTTTTGTATATGTATAGAATTTGGTTAGTATGTATTATACTCACTGGTTGAGTTCAAGGTGTGACCCACTTTGGTTGCGTTCATTTGGAGTGAGTTGCATTATTATAATCAAGGGTAGCATATTCGATATTCCCAATTGTGTTCCATGGAGGCATATTCCTTTATTACATTACCCTCAAAGAGTACACGAACACAATAAAACGAACAATAAATGCACGGTAGCATAACGACGCATGCAAAAACTATTGGCACAATAATTATAGAAGGTAGACAAGAAACGGTTAAAAGAGGCTCCTACGCCGATGACGTTAGAAGAATGAAAAACGTGAGAGGATCACAAATCGTGAAATGTAAATCAACAGTCCAAGCTAACAGGCTAATGAATGTTAAGAAATTAGCAGATATGGACACCCCATCCCACGCTGAATAGATGCAAAAGGGTCGTGTACTGTAGAGACTTTCTGAATTCAACTTTAGACGAAATCTAGGAATGCTGTGCGCAATGCGCATGAATTGACCACGGAAGTGAAAAGAATCAGATCCAAACGGAATGGCCGAATGGGGAATGGGTGGATACATCGCCAATCCTGTTTTGACCTTTAATAAAGTAAAGGCACACTCCCTAAAAGAATCAAGGCTGCTATGTAGGTACACTCTCATTGTGAGGCAATAGGTACATACCATCCTTTAAGATATTTTAATTGTAATAGGTTTGGACATTTAGCTTTTAATTGCCATAGACCAAAAATATGTAGGTACTTGTGGTAAAGATCCACACGACCGCGACGGTACACCATGTGAGACTCCAAAAACATGACAAAACTGCAAAGAAAATCATTCCGCAATAATAGAGGATGTTCGGTCTATAAAAGAGAAAGTAAAATAAAATTTTGGTTTTAAATAAATAAATAAAATTACATATTTACAAGCGAAACAGATGGAAGGGTCTCCGGTTACCACTCGGACCATTTTGCTGCATAATTAAACAGCAATAGTCCCCAGGAATAGTACAATTTTGGGCATAATAAAGAATCCAAGAGAATGTAAAATTAGACTTCTCTTCGGGATCAAACGATCTAGGGCGTAATTCTTCTAAACGAGTATACCGTATTTGAATGAAATGGAAAAGGGATGCTACATAAAAAGCATTATCGTCTCCGGTTCCGACCGGATCCACTATCACTTATGTCGCGCAATCTTCCTGCGATCTCTAAATTGAAACTCTTCGAACTTTATAACACTATTTCATATTTGGATATTCAATGAGAGTATGCCACTGCCACTGGCACATAAACACAATTTATAACAGTGCCAATTCCAACTACTTATTTCTTCAGTGTTGAAGTTGAAACTGTCCTAAAACGCAATTCGATTTGCTTATATAGCAAACTCGGAGTATTCTCGAGTGCTCCCGAATGTTCTCGAACGTTCTAGAATAAAATACATCATATTTCCCGGAAAGATTGCGCCCTATCCGCCGTTGTTCTTTATCGCCGATTACTAATCTTTCATGGCGCCTCGATATCTATCGGGGTTTTTGGAATATTCGGTACTATATTTTTTACTAGCAGACCCGGCAAACTTCGTAACGCCTATCATCAGTCAATGTCCCGTCTCAACAGAAAGATCAAAATTCCCTAGCTCTACCCTTGGCAGCTATATATGATATGACTCTAACAAGCCAGTATCTCTATAATGATATTAGGAATTTTTTTCAATTTATGTTATGTCGTGGTAATGCATTATTGTTTGATCTTAAAAATAGAACACGCCGTCGGTGTTTTACATCCGTGAACAAAATTACTTTAAATGCAATAAAAATTATTATTATTATTATATTACATCCGTGATTCGGCAGTCAATGAATTTGAGGAATTTTACGCCCCTTCTTGTCTGCGCTGATCGGCCAGTATCCCTTACATCTTGCCTGGGAAAGGTTTTTGAGCGCATCGTACATACTAAATTGGTATGGTTTCTCGAGGCGCATTTTTTAAGAATTAAAAAAATGTGCTATTGTTTGCGTTTTGTCTGTCCATCCGTCTCTGTCTGTCCGTCCGCCCGGACCCACCTCTGCGGTTTTGAACTACTTTTAGGGGAATGGTCGTCTTGGAATTTTACAATACGTAGCCTATACGTTGAAGGTATGCCAGACGGTTATCTAATTTCGCTGTATCAAGGGGGAAGCCCCCATGAATTATTTCTTGAGATGCTGTTTATGAAAGTGAAACGTGCGTAACTTTTACATACGGCAACCAATTGATCTCAGATTTTGTATACGCGTGCCTTTAGTGGTACCAAATAAAATTTTTGAAAATGGGGGGGGGGGGGGGGGTGAATACACTTTCAACTCTTCATGGTATTCTAATGAAAGGTCTCATCGAATGAATTGGTTTGTACAAACTATAACTTTCCTGCGCAACTCCTTTTCAATATAAGTAGGCGGCCATGGGGAGGAGAAGAGGTGGAAATTAATTTTATCTTTCATGGTATTCTAATTAAAAATCTCAACAAAAGGAACTGTTTTCTATCAACTACCGCCCGTCTTTCTGACTCCTTATCGAAACCGGGGTAGGGGGCTGGTTTTAGCCTTCATGGTACTCTAGTATTCCTTATATCTCAAAAACAGATTGTTGGAGGAGGGTACTCACAAAGGCGATTGGGACGCCTCGAATATATGTATTGGCGATGTCAAAACTTTAAGAGCGAATTTCTCGAAACCGGATTTCGGAGGAAAGTACTCATAAAGGCAAAATGATTTGGCTGGACGAGACATATCTATTGGTGAAGTCGAAGCGAACATCTTGGAAACGAAGTGTCGGAAGAGGGTACTCAGGCTAAGTGGAACGTCAGGACGACACATATCTATATTGATGATGTTAAAACTTTCAGTGCAAATATTCGCAGAACAGAGTGTTGAAGGAGTGTCTCTCAAAGGGTAGAAAGAACGTCTAGACGAGACACATCTACGGGCGATGTAAAAACGTAATTGTGAAGTTCTCGAAAATGTTGGTAGAAGGTATCTAAAAAGGGAAATGCAATATTTCGGAGAATTTCTCTAAGGGCTTGTTTTTTTTGCGGACCCACAAGTAACTTCATTTACTTTTTCTTTACCTGCAAATTTTTTTCTGCTTTCTTTGTTTCAACCCCAAAACTTCTAAGCGATTCAGTAATAACCCGATAATATGAATTTAATCCTGAAAGTCGAAGGGTCTATGATATTCTGTTAGGTACTGATATCTCGAGAGGTTTACAAAGCGCCCGAAACACTGACGCGGCGGTTTCTAATGGACGTTCCAAATCCAATAAATGGCTGATAAACCCGATTAATTCTTAAGGGCAGCAGATACAACAACACCCTTCTAATCTACTGCTCTCTTCAAGGTTGCCTTTGCAATTGTTCTCAAAATTCACACGTTAAGCCATTCTCCAGAATATGTATCTACATACCTAATTTCGGTTTTGATTTTGAACCATTTTATCAAACGGGAAAAGATCGCTCTATTTAATTAAATAATGGTAAATTGCTCCTTATTAATGGGAGTAAAAATGGTATATGTTTTATCATCTTACCTATCTTGAGGGTTTAGTCTGTTGCGCGGTTAATGAAGCTACTTTACTCTTTCAACTGCAAAAAATATTTTCAGGTCTCTAAGGGAGGAAAAGTATGTCACCTTAATCCCGTAGGTAAGTTATGGGAGTGCAAAAAATACCAATTTTTTTACGCATTGCTATACACTAATATTTATTTAGATAATAGTAGAAAATACTCCAATTTTAAATATAACCAACCAATTGAAGATGACTGTCCAGGATCATTTAATGACGTATTATGGTCCTGACATTACTTAAGAATTATGTTGCTAGGTACAAAAATAAATAATTTAAACTAAAGTTGTGATAAATGAAATTAAGTATTCATACGCAGTAATTACTGGATTCATTTCCACATTAAAAGAATATGTGACGTAACTCAGCACCTTAAAATGCATTGACAATTAGTATACCGTACGTAAGTATAGGTAGGTAATTATATAAAAAATAACTTATTTAAATTTACACTAAAACTCCTTAACGACTTGAAAGTGTTGATGCCTTTCAAATAACTTTAAACAATTAAAGAAATTTGTAAGTCAACTACTATATAAAGGTTCTATTTTTCATTACACATCATTCACATTTTGGATTTAACCTATTCAACTATGAACAAGTTAAACGTAAGTTACAAGAATAATTAAACAGCGAGCATTGTTAATAACATATTGATATTACAGATTTGCTTCGTCATCTTGGGAGTAATCTCCAGCGTCTTCGCAGAAGCGCCGTTGCTTTCAGGACCATACCCAGCTCCCGCTCCAGTATATGGACCACCGAAAATAATTGAAACACCTGCCCCGTACCCACCAGCAATACCCGCACCAGTATATGGACCACCGGCCGAATTCATCGCCCCACCTCCACAAATTATTTCTAACTACGACTATGCTGTCTACACTCCAAAACGCGTCGAAGTTCTTGCACCATATGCACCACCGGCACCAATCATCAAAACTGCTCCATACGCACCACCAGCACCGATCATCAAGACCGCACCATACGCACCCGCTACACCGATCATTGAGATTCCCAGACCCACCGTTCAAGTGATCTCCAACTACCATTACGACTTACCAAAATACATCCCCGCTCCAGCTCCTGTTTTACCCGCTCCAGTTTACGGACCACCAAAAGTTTTCGTCGCGCCCGCTCCAGTTTTACCTGCTCCAGTTTACGGCCCACCGAAGATAATCGAGCCCATTGTACCCGCACTGGAGTACGGAGTACCTAAAGTGATCCCAGCTCCAGCACCAGTACTTTCCACCTACAACTACGCCGTACACACTCCCCAACCGATAGTTGTCAAGACTGGACCGTACCCTGCACCAGCACCTTTGGTAAAAATTCCCGAAGCACCAATTGTACCACACACTGAATATGGTGCACCAGTATTCTAAACGTTTATAGTTGTGGATT